GTATTAATTAACCTAGTGAAAAACCTAGTGAAACGTTGAATAATCGATTCATTTGCCTAGTAAAACGGTGAATAATCGAGTAATTTGTCCAGTAAAATTTTGAATATTCTATTAATTAGAACATTTGTAACATTTTGTAGAGTAAATGCACCCACCTTATCCAGTGATCTAGTGATCCCAAAAGCTTTGTTGATATTAAACATGAAAATTAGTCCCTAAAAAAGATTTATTAACTATTGCAGTAAATATGCTAAAAATCATCCCAAAGCTCATAAATTAAACTCAATCCGTCAGAATTAGAAAAAATAACACCGACTGATATCAACCCAACAACGCGATCGTTAAGCATTAATTTGTCACGTTTGTACGGGCTTTATCTTTTTTTTTATTTTTTTTTTTCGAATATTTTCCAGCTTTGAACAACTATTTTTGCGAACCACGACGAATTTGAATATAAATTATTTTCGATACGCGAATAATGTTTCCCTGTTCGGATCAGATCCAGCTGCATATTTACAATTTGTTTGTCACTTTGTGACATTCATTCTATTACCTACATGAAAAGCAGATTACAATAAACATCCCGAAACGCATAGAAACGCAAATATAAGGACTGGAAATTCGATATTATTTCGAAGCGAACGTTAATTTCGAAAAACGATAGAGCAAATTTGTTTGCCCTTCTCTTGAGTTTCAAAGCTGTTTATTTAGAGTGATGTGTATGTAACATTGATTTGGCCTGCACTGTCGACGGATTTGTACCCTGTAGAGTTTTCACGTTTTCAACCCTTCGAAGGGTCGAAAGTTTTTTGGATCTTTCAAAAATAACTATACTCGAATTTGACCATTTCTAGTGACAAGTGCTGAAGTAATTTATAGATTAAAACGTTAAATATTCTAGTAATGTGGTCATTGGTAGTAATAAATTGAAAACAGATTTAATAACAGATTTATGTAAAGTCAACTTTCCACTGAGTATAGAAAACGTTTCATGGAAATTCGATAAAAAAACAATCATCTACTTCCGTCACTGTCGCTGGAAATGGTATTGTCTATAAAACAGTGATCTACTCAAACTCCCCTTTCGCCGTTATGCGTTTGACGTTTTCTCATTCATTTTACCTTTTTTTTTAAGGCTTTCAATTAACCTTTTCAATTTTCTTGACGGCTCACTCGACGACACTCGTCCTCGACTTAAAAGTACTACTTAGAAATTTACTCCAAATTACCTATTAAGACATTCGATATGGCTTTGTACGATTTGATCCTCTTAACGAAGAAAAAAATGATGATAACGATCGCTTTTTAAAAAACATAATGGCTTGTTTTTTTGCGTTGATTCGATACCTCTTTTGGAATCCGTAGGAGTTTACCCTTTAATTAGCTGCTTGACGTCGAAATTATTTTTTCCTTCGGAAACTTACTGAATGGAATAATTTTTAATAACATCTAAAGTAATGTGCTGTTAGAAGCATTATAAAAATAAGAGAATAATCATCTTGATAAATTGGAATATTTTGTCTCGTTTGTTTGTTAATTGACACAGTAGGATCAGAAATTAGAAAATGCAAATAAACGAAATTTTCTTATGAAGCGCGATTAAGTTCGTTTCTAATAAAAGAGTTATTACAAATAATAAAAAAATTTAATTCGAATGCAATTTCTCATTTTATCAGGCGCATGTTACGCTGAAAGTTTCATCGCAAGAAGACGAATTGCTATTTTAATAAAACTGAGCTAAACGAGTGCCATTTATAACTTGCGGAAAATCTGGAGCATTTTTCATATTTTCAATAATTTTCCACGGTGCGCATAATTTCCTTCGGGAAGGTGATTAATTCTTGAATTAGCGGGCGCTTGTTTCAGGAATGCTCTACTCAAATGACCCGAAAAAGAAATTGTAGCATAAAATTTCATTAAATATTAAATCGGATGTATTTATACACATCTACAAATATTTGTAAATAGAGGCAAAACCTTAAATTACAAGTTGTTTCATGTTGTTTCTTTATTAAGGTAATATTACGGATACATTTCCGCCGAACAAACTGCATCAATAATGCACGTTCTCCTAGAAAATGCTAGAAGATAAACCTAAACTTAACCTACATTTCCTCTTTCTGGATGAGCTTAATAAATTTTCCGCTTCTCAAATATTACAGTAATTGAAAATCCTGGCGAATTGTAGATTATCTATCCATAAGAATATGGAAGATTTAAGTAAGCTTTCAAAATACATAATTTTCATAATGCTCCTTGTTTAGACTGTCGATAATAAATGATAAGTAATAATAGTAATAATAAATATTTGCCTCTTAAGTTTGCAAAAACAAATAATTTATCGGTAGAATTTCATTTGAGCTTCAATGTTTAATTATTCAGTTCCACGAATCGAATTCTAATTAAAATTGCTTTCAATCTAATTTCTGGCAAATCGGTTGCAATTATCTATTCATGATTAATTGCAATTAAAACGAGTAATTGTTGTTAATTGTATGTTGTACTTAAAATATTATCTATAATTTAACTGATTTCCCGATAGCTTTTGCGATTTCAATATCCCATTCAATGCGTTATTTTGCTTTGAGGTGAATAAATAAATAGAAATATTTCGAATGTGTATGACAGAACGGACAGTTATAATAAAATTACATAGGTACATCTGTTGTATCAACCTAAAACCTGCAGTGTTTTAAGTAATTAAACGATTATATACGAAGATACACGTAAATTGTTTGCAATCTTAGAAATTAAAGACAGAATTCATTCATCTTTGATGTATGATTAGACCTAACTATTGATTTATTGAGAATCAAATTTCCACAGTGAGCTCGGGTTCCGATCCTACTGACCGCGCCAATTAACTCTTTACAACTGGAAGGAGCATGCATATTTGATTTTTACCAGAAAATAACTTCAACTTTTCATGCATACTAAAGTGGATTAAGCGAGTTCCTAGCATTCGTTGCAAAAGGAATTCTTTTATTCGGGAAAAAAATCGCGTAATTTTGGTTCTTCCTTCGACATTCCAAATGGATGAAGAAAAATATTTCGATGGGAAATGATTACTTAAATATAAGGAATCGTAAAAAGCGAAGTGAATACTGTCGTAGATGACAAGACATTTCAATTTAACAGAAGGATTTCCAAAGAGATCGGCTGAATATAAAGGAGATTCGAGTAGGTATAAAAAACCCGCAAGTTTTCGGTAGGAATGGAATTTATATTTTATAAATTAATAGTTTAGGATACGAGATTTATTAATTATTTCAGAATATACAATATTATTCCGTTATAAAACGTTGGAGGTTGCAATTATTCGAATAGAAAGTCTCGATTTATTTCATTAAACACATTTATTATACCTATATTCAATGCGAATAAAATTTCACATATATTAAGCGTAATTAAGGCATCATCTGTACGCGATTTTTATTTTCCAATTGCTCCTTTTAACTCTTCATAAACGCTGATGTATCTTAAATGAATCTTAAATGAAAAGTCTTGGAGATGTAATTTTCTACATGAAAGAATATCTAATAAATGCATACAAATTGCACCATTACTATCGCTTTCATTAGCCTCATACGGTCAATTAAAATCATTTTATCGGTCTACTTATTGATTTGTTTTCCAAACCAATTAAAGGTTAATATACAAGTTCAGATCAACAGATGAACATAAACAGTTAATTTCGATGCGTTTGTAATTTCAGTAGAGCTTTTTGCTGCAGGAGTTTCATTGAACTTATGAAAACTTACTTTAGGTATTTAGATTCAATTTTACATCAAGTAGTGTAAGAAATATCATGTAGAAGGCGACGGAATTGTTATTTACTGATAACGAATTACTGCATAATTTAATCGCCAGCTCCTTGCAATTAATTCCATAATATCGAAAGATGTATAATTTCGACGAAAGTTAATCAGCGTGAAATCGTTAATTAAAATTAATTATCGCAACCTTGCAGCGTACGGTATACGCGAGACAAGCGCCTTAGACGTATCATAAGTGTACGTAAATTGTCATTTAGGCTAATTATGTCTGGAACTCGGTCATGTCACTGTCGAAATTAGTTATCGCGAATACCAGCGACCGGTTAATAGGAAACTACTGGCTAATTACCCCTAGCTCAACTTAACTTAGTCGAATGCGATCCTCTACGTGGATCCTAAAATATTTAATATCACACGATTTAATGTTAACCAATGCTGAATATCAAATTACAGTCCTGAAGGAACATTAACCATTGAAATCCATTAAGTTTATAACTCTAGGTGTCATCATATACATTCATTTTTTAACGAATGAAGGCATAAAGAATGCACTCAACAATAGCTGAGTTTATTAATTTAACTCGTTTTAATGAGTTTAAATGTAAATGCAGTTGCGTCAGCCATGAATTTTAGGGAAGCTCTCCCTAGGCAGCTGTTGTAGACGAAAATATTACGGCGGTAATCTGCTTTATTTAAGGAAACCGTCGTGTGAGCTATTGTGATCTCTCAAACGTCAATAGATATTGGCACGAGTCTAATGCAAACAATGTTACGTGATTACGTGTTTAAATGCAGTTAGGTTTATTCGGATCCCTCGCATCTTGTCGCAGGGTAAAATTAATGGTTGTCCTTTGGTGGGAAAAATTTCGAATGTTACAAGGTAACCGTTAATGTGGTAATAGTAGTTCAAAGTTTCGAGGAATTTTTCAGATAATTTCAAGATGCATTGGTCAAACCTCATTTAAAAACAGTTAAAGAATTTAAAATACTCATTGAAATTACTAAAACTCTCTATGGACTATTCCTCAAGCTTCCTCATCATATTCCCATATATCTACTAAAAGCAATAGTTCCTCTCATATCATAAAATTCATTATTTTTCAAATCCAATTTTCCACCATTACCATTCGATGTGATAAAGGTAGCCAAACGAAATCTCCCCTCGATGAGAGACAATCCAAATTCGATTCGATCTTCCTATCCGGCGCCATATTTACATGCACAATGCCCAAGACAATCCATCGGGAAGTTAGTTAACGAAGTCAATGCGGCCCTCTATCATTGCAAATCCCTCTCAGTTTCCACACAAATCGTATTTAGCTGTCACGTTACGGATTTAAATTGAATTTCACGCCTTCCTCGCGCGGGTCACCGGCACCCGGACCTTTCGCGCGATAATTGGATACGCATTTCGAAAGACCGAGCAACTGGTTCTCCAACAATTTACTGGAAAATTCTCTTTGGACTGTTTCACTTCTTTCGAAATCAATGAAATAAAAGCTTTTTCAACCGATACGTAAACTAAACATTTTTTTCTGTTCCAGGTAGTCACGAAAGGTTACCGAGCAACGATGGATCTCAAAATTATTTATTTATTTATAAGCTACATGGCGTCTGCGATGGCGCAAGAAGACTGGGAAAAGCACTGCAATAAGTGCCATTGTTTATGGGTGAGCGGTAAAAAGACCGCGAATTGCGCCGGTCGAAATTTCGACACGATACCCAACGATTTGAGCACAGAAATCAGAGAGGTGGATTTTTCGAACAACTTTTTCTACTCCTTGGAGCAAAAGGTGTTCGACTACGCGCATCTGGTGAACGTGCACAAACTCAAATTGCAGAACTGTACGATTGAAAAGGTGAGCCAATGGGCCTTCACCGGGTTAGGATTAGTAATAGAATTAGACCTGAGCAACAACAATATAGCGACGTTGAATAAAAACGTATTCAGACCAACCAGACGTTTACGAACGCTCATTTTGAGCAACAACAAGATATCGGTGCTGGAAGACGAGCTGCTTTACAATTTGACGTTTTTACAAAAAATTTTACTGGATCACAACGAAATCGAAACCGTGTCGCCGTCGACCTTCCAAAACCTGCCGAATTTGATGCACATCGCTCTATCTAACAACAAAATCCAACGAATTACCTTCGATATGAAGAGTTCCTTGCCGAAACTGAGCAGCCTCAACGTGGAGGCCAACCCCTGGGCGTGCGATTGCCGACTGCAGGAGTTCAGGAGCAGCGTGAAAAGGAACAATTTAGTGACGGCGGAGATCATGTGCGCAGCGCCGGCGAGGTTAAAAGGCCGCTCCTGGCTCGACGATTCCGTCATATTCGCGTGCCCGCCTAAAATCGTGGAAATGGGTCCTCACAATGTAGTCTACGCCAGTTACACTAACATTACTATTACATGCAAGGTCATAGGCAACCCGGTGCCAGACGTCGATTGGATGAGAAACGACAAAATCATCGAAAGAGATCCCAGGAAGAACAAACAGAAGTATCTAACGCAGAAGGACACTTCTTCGGATGGCTACACGTGGAATAATTTGACCATTTTTAACGTTAATTACAATGACAAAGGCGAATACAGATGTATTGCGAAGAACCCCGGTGGAGAAAATGAGGGAAACATCACTGTTGACGTGCCTCCTGGAGCTTTAACTGGTAAGTGTGTATGTAATTAAACATTTTCTTGTCCAAAAGTTACCTTTCATTGGTACTTGAAGATGGTACTTAATTGTGTCTAAATAGGCACTTCAGTGATTCCGTAGTTATTTTTATTGGAACTTCACTCTAAAGATAGAGGTTTATTTTATTAATGATTTTGTCTTCTTCTTCTTTAAGGTCTTCTCTTGTTCCTAGATTATTCATTCCTGGATGGACAATCTCAGCCCTCTTTCATTTCTTTCCACGTTTTTTTATCTTTTGCTACCTGATATTAATGATGTCTTGATCAAGGATTTCCTTTTTTTCAAAAAGCTTCTGCTATCAAGGTTTTCATGCTATATTCCTAATATCAGATCATATGACCACAGTTTCTGTGGTCCACATATTTACCACTTGAGAACTTAAGAACATTATCAATGCAATCGCATAAACCACGTTTCTTATTAATATCTTCATCAGGTGGCACCTTCGTCGGAACGCTCACAACGAACACCTACCTGGTGATCGGCCTCGCCGTCGGCATAATCTTCATTCTGCTGCTGGCTCTGCTCATTCTCTTCTGCATGTGCAGAAGGGGAACGAACGATTTCTATTCGAAACGGCGGCCGCACGCCAACACGTCCGAGGAGTACATCAACATGAGCGGCGGACAGGCGGAGATCAAGAAGGGCTTGATCACCGACGTCAATCCGGTGACCAAACCGCCCAGGACGACCGTATCCCCCTCGGTGGTCAGCGGAGGTACTGAAGTCAGCGACGTGAAGAAGACTTTATTGGATAATGAGTCTGTTTTTGGTACGTATAAATTTGCTTTTGCTATACTTATCTAGTAGTTTTCTCATTGTTTCTAAATGTTAATTGTTTGTGTCTACAATTTGAGTATTTTTTTGTTACTCTTGGAGTAGTTGGAGAAGCTCTTTCTTTGGGTGTATTTCTTTGAAATCTTTACATGAGATGAGTGCTCTATGTTCTCGATTTCATGGATACACAACGTCTCCAGAATATCTTAACTAAACTTTCATGTTTTCCAGATTGCGACGAAGAAACCCGATCGTTGGACTTCGACCAGCCGCTGTTGCGGAAAACCCACGTCATGCCGGATTCGGTCAACAATCACTACCCGCCGGATCTTCTACCGTTTCCACCCAGAATGACCCAAGTGTCTCCGGCGGGGAGCTCGGCTTCCACCGTAGCCGATACGACCAGGCTGCCTCCGCCACACGGTCCGCAATCGCCGCTGCACAGCCCCATCTACGACCAACTGAACCTGTACAGGACCCTGCCGTACTCCAGATCGCACTCACCGTTCGTCGGACCTCCCACGAGAGTCCCCCGCGCCGGATACGTCACCATTCCCAGACGTCCCAGGATGCAGAGCTGGAGCTCGGAACCGCCCAACGCCTCCGACATCATAGTCGAGCCTCTTTACGACAATTTGGGCGTGAGGACCACAGCAGACGGCGCCACTAGCACTCTGTCGTTGAACAAACTGGAGAGCAACGGCACGCCCAGGTCCAACAGGCTGCTATCGCTCAACTCCACCAACTGCGATCCCATCGAGGAAAGCCACGAGTCTCCGCCCAGCCAGAAGGTTCTCGCCAATCAAACCTTGCCCAGGAGCCTGAACGCCGCCAACAAACTGACGCCGTCGAAGCTGCAGTGGACCAAGTCCAACGCCGAGGCTTTGATGAGTCCGGATAAGAGGAACTCGATTTCCTCGTTGCCGGACGGGCAGCCCATGAAGAAGATCCCGCCCAGGCCGCCGCCGAAGCCTAAGAAGCGGGCGTCGACGGGCCCGCTGTTCGAGGACGAGGGCGAGGACGGGACGGAAGTGTGAGAGTGGCTGAAATCAGTGCTGGTGGCACTGGTTGCGGCGTGAAGCGGTCCAAATGTAGTGACAGGGTTATAATAAAATTAGAGACAGCGAGGACTGGATTATATTGTATAAATTTAACGAAAGAGTGCCTTAAAACGACGTGAACAATGAACAATAAAATGATTATACTACCTTTTTGTCGTCTTTTTCGGGAGTATTTAAACTGATTTGCTATACATAGACTAAAGTGGGAGTTTCCCATAGTTTCTCTCTAATGAAAAGAATGTTTTTTTTTTCCTTATGACTTCTATTTTTTGAATTATATTTTTTTAATTTGTGTAGGTACATTTTTATTATTTCGATTTTAAATACTCTACGAAAACGACCTGGTTTTACATTTAACAAATTAAAATAATGCTTCGAGTCCCTTGAATGTTATAATGCATGTTATCCTTCGGGCTTCCACTACGACTGACGCTGTAAAAAAACCTTCTGAATTGATCGCAAGGTAGATTTATTGATGTATTTGTATTATTTGATTCGTATTAATGATTTATGAATGTTTTTGTAACGCCTACCGGTGATTATCCGCATCATTTTATGTATACGTTTTCGATTATCAAATATTCACTTATGGGTAGCCATGAATATTATATATTTTTTTATTGTTAGATGAATTTACGATTTCAGTTGCGGGAAATTTTATACGTGTTCTCATAAGTGTATAGCTGATTTTATGTGTAATTTAGTTTTTAATTAAATTTTTCGAGGAACGCTTCTCGACTGGACCTACAAATTAGCTATGAATGGAGAGGAGCACGACTTGTTTTATTTTTTTATAAAACTACGTATTCTTTTGAAGTCATTTGAATTTTTTAATTTTTTCCATTTCCAATGGTAATGTGGCATCATCGAATGTATACTTTTTGAATCAATAAGGTAGTTAAAACGCATCCGAAGGTAGTTAAAACCTGTTTCATGCAGTTTTGTGAAAATTCTTCATTTTATTCTAAAAAAGTGTTTATTTTTGGCCCAAAAACTTAAAACAAAGAAACTACAATAACATTACCCTAAATATGTCATCTGTCATTTGATGTTACATTTCACTTTTGTTCGTTTCTTCTATTCCTGCGAACATTTCGTTCGAATTCTTATGCCACTAATGATACAATGTAACTCGTTCGTTTTGTAATTGGTTAGTGACTACACGTCAAGTGTCAAAATTTTAAATTTAAAAGGGCTATATTTCCTAAAAAAATTGAATATTGAACTGAAAAACTGAAAACTGCTTTGAGTTCTAATGACTTATTTCTATTCATATATCTGGTTAAAAACCGTCTATCTCACATCGTACTCCTCTCCATTATCTTTTACTAAATATAAATAATATAGTATTTGTCAGTATTAAATAGCAAGGCAAGATATAATGGTAAATTGCTTTCAAACAAATCTTCCTTATAAATATGTGTAGATAAATCATCTTAGAGATGAAATAATCACTGAAAATGTGTTATTATGATCGATTATTATTTTTAAAATTACAAACGTATACATGAAATAATTATGTTCGATAGTTAATTTATGTATAATTTACCACAAAATTATGTAAAATATTATTCGCGTGTTTATCATATTTATTTAATTTCCATTGGACGTTATAAATTTTATTGTATTGGAATTTTGATTGAGCGTCATTGCTCAATTGCATTATATTAATTAAAACAAACTTGTGATGTATTTAATTGATCGGTTACTTATATATTTTCTGTAAAATTTTACTAGACGCACTGTACATAAAACTATTAACATGTCTATTGCCCAAATCTAATATGTATAGTATCGAATCTTAAAATTGATAAACAATTTCGAAACATTATCGTTGTCGTTTTATTTTTTCCAAATTTCCCTTTTCTTAACTGGTTGTTAAATACTTGTTGTCGAATGTAGCATTACCTAAAAACGTGGTGATAAAATATTTTGTTTCTGAATTAATATAAACAAAGAGCAGTGTGAATGTGCTCAAACAAGAATTTCGACCTCTTATTGAGCAAATATTTTCGAGCTATTTAAGTGTTTATCAATCTAAGCAAATTGCCTTTGTGTACTAGCGAATGCAATATTGATCTAGTTGAATAATTCGCTATTACAATAAAAGCTTGCATGTGGCTTCTTACAGCATTTTCTACTCAGAACTGCTCAAAATTATTTAGGATTGTCCAGAATCATTTTGAACCATTTTAAAATTGACTACTAACTTTTGAAACACATCAGAACTATCTTAGAACTATTTTGAACTGTTCAAAATTACTTAGAATTGTCCAGAATCATTTTAAACCATTTTAGAATTGACTACTACTATTTAAAACAGTTCATAACTATCTTAGAACTATTAAGAACAGTTTAAAATCACTTAGATTTGTCCAGAATCATTTTGAACCATTTTAGAATTGACTACTACTATTTAAAACAGTTCAGAACTATCTTAGAACTATTTAGAACTATTCAAAATCACTTAGATTTGTCCAGAATCATTTTGAACCATTTTAGAATTAACTACCGCTATTTAAAACAGTTCAGAACTATCTTAGAACCACTTAGTACTCTATTCTCTTAGTACTCTCGCACACGAGTGCGCTAGAATTGTTACAAACCTTTTAATTAAATGCCACAAGGATGAACTATAATCACACAACTTTTCTACTAAGAGATATTTTGTGTTATCTTGTTTTGTCACACTGTGACAAAAAAGTATCCGGAAAATTGGAATAAAACTTTCTAGCAAAATTTCTTAGCTTCATTAATATTTTTAGAATCTCCTTCAAAATATGCTCCTATTGAAGCGATACACATAGTCGGAAGCCTTTTCCAATCATCGAAACATTTTTATAGGCCCTTTTTGGTACGGCTTTTAGCTCCTTTTGCGAATTTTCTTTGATGGCATTTATGGAGTCAAAACGGGATCCCTGTGGCAATTTGAGTTTGGGAAACAGAAAAAAAGTCGCACGATGCTAAATCTGGTGAGTAAAGCGACTGGTTGATGGTACTTCACTCGATTCAGCATATCTGCATGAACCTGTTGATGATATCAACCTGTTTTTAAAAGAAACTCAGCTCTATCGGAACGAGTCGAGCATCATTGCGCAGCATGATTGATTGATTGATCAAAATCAAACGAGCGGTTTAATGGGAGATGTTGAAGTTAAGTGCTCTAATACTAATATAATAATAATAATAATATCTAATAATACAAATCAAATTCTCTAATACTAGCATGATGATTTTTGATCTCCCGATAGTCTTTAAAAGTTTTGTACTATTCGTAAATATGGGTTTTCGAGAGAACAGAGTCACCTTAAGCATTTGCATCGGTTCGGCTCATGAAATTCCGTTCAAAACTCAAACTGAATGAGAAATCTCTCAAATTTTTTGCATGCTAATTAAGAACATTGTTACCAACATACAGAAACTTGAATTAGTAAAAAATATCAAGTGTAGGTAATGTAAATCAGAATATCCGGGTACTTTTTGTCACAGGATATATTAAAAGTAAACAGAAAATATAAAGCTTCTTAGCAATTCTTGAATTTTGGCCAAATATTAATGCATTCGAAACGAGGTCGACATTGTTACTTTTTATCTAAACATGTGCTCTTGTTTTGAAATCCGTTTTTAGATCAACAAACGACCCCAGGGGTTATCAAAACATTGATAAAGCGATACACAGTCTCATAATTCTTAACATCATCAGTCCCTGAAGCTTTTTCGTAATGAAAATACTAGTTTTTTTCGCGTTTTTTGTGGGGTACGCCCGTTGTTGCGGAAGAGTACCTAGTTATTACGAATCGTCGAAACTTAAAACTCCAGGTGACAATGGGTACGAAATTAAAATTAACGATAATCCAGAGAAATACGTTCCTGGCAACATTTATACCAGTAAGTGATCTAAACTCTCGAGATCTATTAACACACAAATTCCTACAAAAAATTACAAATTGTTTAAATGTGTGCTATTTTAGTGTATCTAATGGCTCCTCGACATCCCAACAGCAACAGGTTAAGGAAATTCCAGATATTCTCCGTTAGTGTGGAATCGACATTCAATCACACCGATTCACCCCAAAATGTGGGGAGTTTCCAATTATTCGGGGACGATTTAGCGACTTTCGATGAAGATTGCATTAACACCGTTTCTGAAACTAGTTCTACACCGAAGAGTGAGGTGTTTTTCATGTGGTCAGCTCCTCCACCGGGCTCGGGATGCGTTACATTCAAGTTAGTAGGTTGTATGCACTACACTGTGCAAACCTATATTATAATCATTTTTAAAAGGATCATTTTCATCTTTCTTACGTTTTTATCTAAAAACTTATAATGTTGTATATCGTAGAAACCTTTTATCGCTGTTCTATTATCAAGTCGTGTATGGAACGAAAAGAACAACAATAAAGATGGTGACATCAAAAATCTATCTTTCAGAGCAATGGTGTTAGAAGACTCCTTAACATGGTTCTCCGAAGACGGCAAGCTAACCAAAACCCTCTGCGAACAAACCGAAAAAGACATCGAAAAAAACGACGATTGCTGCGCCTGCGACGAAGCCAAATACAACGTACCCAATCTCGCAATCCAGCCAACATCAACCATTAATTCCCGTTAAATTTCAGCTGGTCTTCGAGGGCATCTGGTCGAGCCGCACGCACCCCAAGGACTACCCGACGCTGCTCTGGCTCACCCACTTCTCCGACGTCATAGGCGCTTCTCACGAAAGGAACTTCAGCTTCTGGGGCGAGGACCAAATCGCTTCCGAAGGATTCAGAAGCCTTGCGGAATGGGGATCCGTCAGGTTATTGGAAACTGAACTAAGAGCCAAGAGCAGATACCTGAGGACCATCATCAAAGCGGCCGGACTGTGGTACCCCAACGTTAACACCAACACTTCCACCACTTTTAAAGTTGATAGAAGGCACCATTTGGTATCTTTAGCTTCTATGTTTGGTATGTAGCTAATCTTATCAAGGAAGTACAATTAAGTATAATGTTTAACATAGGTCCTTCGCCTGATTGGGTTGTTGGTATTAATGGACTAAACTTGTGTTTAAAAAATTGTACTTGGAAGGAAAAAATGACGATTGATTTGTATCCATACGATGCTGGTACCGATAGCGGTATAAGTTACATGGTAAGACTTAACTCGCTTACGAACCAGATTAAAAACTTTTCACCTTTCAGTCACCAAACGCAGAAACTAGTCCCAGAGAAAAAATGTACAGAATAACAACCACTTATCCGGAAGACCCAAGAGCACCATTTTACAATCCCTCTAAAAAGGAAATTCCTCCCTTAGCCAGAATGTATCTAACCAGAGAACAAGTTATACCAAAGAACTGCGACGACAGTTTTCTCATAGCTCAATTGGACGTTAGCGAAAACACCGAGGACACTTCGAGGCGTAAGCTGCGCATACATTAGCAGGTTAATGAATAAACTTGAGGACATAATTTTAGCTGAATGCGGTGTTACTGAATACACCGACTGGAGCGAATGTTCGGTAACCTGTGGAAAGGGTCTTCGCATGAGGACGAGAAATTACATCAAGCCCGATACTGCTAAATTGAGTGGATGCAACAGGCAGTTGATTTCAAAGGAAATGTGTGTGGCAAGCGTTCCTGAGTGTAAAGAGTAAATATACCAATTATTTATTTCAGTTTATAGGTGCTGTGGCAGACGATAATTTCTAATTGAATTAATTTAGTTGGAAGTTATTTAATAATTGTAGATTTAACCACTAATCACCGATCATTTTGGAAATATCAATGTTTTATTTTGTGGACCAAATGGTATTAATCCACAAATCGTAAAACAAGGGACGTCCTTACAATTTCATTCATAACCTGTAAACCTAAAAACTCAATCCTAAAAAATGTTATAAAGTTCCCAGGAAGATTTCTTATAGCACTTATGTATTTTAGAGACGCGAAAGCAGATTCTCAAGAAATAGATTCCTTAGACAATTCTGAAATCTGCGCTGTAACAGCCTGGAGCGCTTGGTCCTCTTGCTCAGAAATTTGCGGCGAAGGCCACAAAATGAGAACCCGCAAATTCATAAACAAATCCGGCATAAAGAAGTGCCCTCATGTTACAATAAGTAATTAAATCAGTTAAACAATACTATCCAAAACTTCATAATTTTTCTTTCCAGTGGAAAAACTACTTTGCAAGATCAGAGATTGCAGACCAGATGAAATCTCTGCCACAGATCCCACGTGCCCCACGACCCAATGGAGCGACTGGAGCCCTTGCAGCGCTTCCTGCGGCAAAGGTATCAAAATGAGAACCAGGCTCCTGCTGGTCGAACCTGCAAGACAGCAGGAATGTAGCAGTCGCGTCGAGCTCATCCAGCAGCTGCCTTGCGAAGATGTACCCAGCTGCGTCATGGACATGAATACTGCCAAAGGTATGAAAATTGGAGAAATCTTTGGATAAACAAGCTGTAGTTATTAGAATTATTCTTGATTGTATGCTTTTTTTAGTTGTTTGTATGCAAGATGGTGATATAGGACCTTGTCAAGGATATTTCAATAGATGGTGGTTTGATGCTACAAAGCTTAAATGCTTCCCATTCGTTTATGGTGGATGCAGAGGAAACAGAAATAACTTTTTGACTGAACAGCAGTGCTTGGAAACATGCAAGATTGTCAAAGGTAAAGATTAATACTGTAAACAGGTTACCTTGTAGTTGGGGTTAAGGTTTAATCAGTGTTAACATAACTTAAGCACTTCTAAAAATTTATGATATTTTTCATTTTTAGACGCAATTACTGGAACATTGGACCCTGCAAGTCAAATAAGACAGAACACTAGACTTGAATCGAGAGATTGTATTTTAACTGAATGGTCCGATTGGAGTCCTTGCAGTACATCATGCGGACGAGGATTCAGAGAAAGATATAGAGTAGTCAAGGAGCGGGCTGTTAATGGAGGAACATGTCCGAACAGTTTGTTCCAGAGAAGAGGATGCTTCCTAAAGGCATGCTATTGATGATGTGAATTCGAAGAAATTTAGTTATTAGGGTTTTTTTTTTATTTTAATGTAATATTACCTGCTTTATTTGCAGTGAACGTTAAATTCAGTAGTCTGTATATGAACATATAAAACAGTGTTGCGTAATATAAAATCGTTAAAAAAAATGTTTTGAAGAGTACCCAAATTGTATCAAAATACCGGACATTATAATATGTTGATAAAATTATTAATAAATTTAAAAGCGAAACCTCTTTATTTTCCTCCTCTTTATTTGGATAATGTTGCTTTAAAAATTCTCTAACGGTAATCCTAACATGAGGCAGTGCTACATACATGAAAATATCAGAAACCGGGAAGCACTTCATGGAAAGACAAAAACTAACCTAATTTAAAAAAACAATTTTTAAAAAACAAAACAAAACGTTCAAATAATCAACGTTGCCATGTTTTACGTACTGGATTTTTAACCAACTGGTTATTTCGATTTCGAACCGGTTAGTTACAACTATGCTTCCGTGAGTAATTCTAATTGAAAATAACGTTCATTTAAAATACATAATTTTATTAATTCATAGATGGATATTAAACAATTCTCATTAAAACATATAATTGTACAATCCGCTAATCACCAATTAGCATAAACTCGTTCACCTGTAGTTGCATCTCCGAAAATCGGAAATGACGACTATCAGTTGCATAATCGATTTTAGCGAAGGCGCGTAACCCTGGCGTCTGACGCACACGCCTCCGCCGACGCCGACGTCGCGGCGCTACCGCGCAATACCCGATAGATTCCGGACTTACGGAACCCGTGAGTTTCCCTATTCGCATTGTGTCCGGCCCTTGGGGTAAGTACTCACCATTTCGAGTTTCTTATTTGTTTTTTAATATCCTTACTGTTGGGCGAAGAATCTAGGATGGATTAATTCGTATGGTTTTTGTGTAGATCAATTTATCGGTCGTACAGTATATGAGTGACGTGGCATTTGAGTTTTTGCAAGTAGAAATGAACTGTTGCTTCAGAGTGTGGTCATTCATTCATGTTTGAATGAATTTTGCAATGTTTTATTAAGCAAGGTGTATTGTATAGGTTGTATCAACTGTTATAGTTCCTTTATAAAAAAACTTTAATCAAGTATTATAGTTTAATAGGGTTTGATTGACGTGACATTTTGTTTTTGCAAGCATAGATGATTATATTGCTTCGTAGTATGTGTGGTAAAATAAATTTGGGTGAAAGGATTAATTAAATTTAGCTTAGTTGTAGTAATAATGAATTCTTGTATGTATGTACAAATTATCAGGTATTATCTAATGTGTGCAAAGTTTGGTGTGATATATGATATATTAAAAGTAGCGACTTTAAGCAAACAGGTGTTCAATAAAGCTGGTTTTGTATGTGTACTGAATTTATAAATTGTGGGTGTATATTTTAATGAATCAATACGAAAACATGAAACCCACACGTTTATGAAATGACTTCGTTTGCTCAATATATTATTTTTGGTTCCTAATTTAGCTGTTTTTTTTCGCATGCATGTCATTGAGATAACAATGAAAATACATGGAATGTGAATTTAATAATTATCACTGGTAATGGTAAAATAATTAAATAAAACATCTTTTCAGGTCGACCAAGATTATGGTAAAATTTTCCCTCCTAATGTTCCTCCTCGGAGGAGCATTCTGCTATCTTCCACCAGGCAAGGTTCGTATTTTAATAATGTACACTATTTTAGGGATTTGTGGAAATTTCATAGAAAGATCATGAATAGTTGACTTTCGCTTTTCGTTAATTTTTACTTCAACTGGTGAAAATTCATGCGTTGCTGCTGATAATAAAATTGAAAACACAGGCGGCAACCTTCTATGAGAATGGCTTACAAAAACTTTAATTTTTTTTTAAATTAACAAACGGAATTTACTTTCTGGGCGAGTCTAGTGTAACCAAACATTCTTTCTAGGATACTATCCTCTCCGGTATATTCCTGCGAGACCTAGTCAACCGCATCAACGGCAAAGGCATCTCCGAAGGCGACGGCATCTCCTACCTGGACTTCACAGATGGTTTACCGCTGGACGGCCGATCTCTAACCAGCGGATTGGAAGACGAAAAGCTTTTCTCCGGAGATTACGACTCTGTGGGCGAATTCAACCTGCATCCCAGCATTCGAGACGAGGAGTACTTGCGGCACAGCAGCCTTTGGGCTAAGCAGGTACCACGTTAACCAGAACTTAATTAAAATGGATGGCATTTAAACATTTTTTTAGTATTTGAATGGGGATAGGAGTATCCAAGGAGCAAGAGGCGTGAAGACCATGGAACCAGAATCTACTTTACCAGCTTACTGCAGCCCGCCGAATCCTTGTCCCATAGGGTACACGGGTATGTAAACTGCAATTTTCAAGTATACACCGCTATAGAAATGGTTTTGAAATTTTGCAGCTGCCCAAGGTTGTATTGAAGATTTCCAAAATACTGCTTCTTACAGTCGGAAATACCAAGGAGCTCAGGATTGCATGTGCGATACTGAGCATATGTTTGACTGTCCGGGTTCCAATGATATTGATGACGAAGAATCCACCGTGTATGATGGTTATAGGCTCAACAGATTCCTTCAAGAGTCAAACAAGGTATGAGGTTAATTTTAAAAATTCTTAACGAAATAAAAATATTAGCCGACTACTCGATATTTAGTGATTTGTTGAATTTTTTTGTTGGTGTTTTCTGCACCAGTAATTGACCTTATTCAAAGAATATTAAATTTGCTTGGTTTAGATTTGGTTGTAAACTTTTTTTAATTTTTGTATTCCAGTTTAAAGAGATTTTTCCACATTCTTACATGGTTTCTAAAAATTACCAAAGAAAAAAGGTAGGAACAATAGTAGAAAAAAACGTATAGCTGATCATATAAAAGGCGATTAAAAGTATCAGTTGAAGCTTACTGTAGAGTAGTTTTGAAATTAGAGAATTATTGCACTGTAGAAGGTAATTTAAAATGGAAAATTGAATTATATTCTAGTTCATTAGTACCTATAAGTTTAGAGATTTTAAAGTGGTGTTGATGCATTAGTAATGCTCCAAATAGCCTCAAATTGCAATCCATTTTTTAATGAATTAATACGGCATTCAAGTATCCACGCTTTGTCCATTCAACCATGATTTTTTTACCTTTAAATTTCGTCAGGTTAACGGATCATTTTAATTTACTAATTAATACGCAATATGAAAGGACAATAGGATGCTGTATTAATTATTTAAAATATTTGGTTAGTATTCCGATTCCAATTTAGCACATGTTCTGTTTAAAATAGAAAGAATGAACATTTATCAGGAGGAGTTGAGATATTAAGTTAACAATCTGTTACTTTAAAAGTAACATTAATAACCATAATTATATCAACGAATAGAGCCAACGTTTTTCCAAAAACATATAAAACTTTTTTAGGGAAACAACCCCTTTTTGACTGGAGAAAAGTTACCAGTTGCTGCGAAGAAAGGCAACAACGTGAACTTCTAAGATTCGAAGTAAAGCCTCTGAAAAACATCAGAAGGGCTGTCTTCAACGTCTCCCCGAGAGCGAAACTGCTTCTAAGCGGGGAAGTTACCGGCTAGATTTGAAAACAGCCTCCTGGGACGGATCATGGAACCACAAAACGGCAACAATCGACTCTGGCTTTGAAAACGGACTATCCGAAGAACAATAACTCAATTTAATCCCTATTCCTCTACAAACAAACAAAGTATAATATATTAACCTAGATAGTAGTTGCTTTCGATGTAAGTAAGTAAGTAACGGATCGAACCCCTATACTGTTAGAGTTAGAGAACAAAGAGCAAATCAGCATTTCTTCGCGAATGATATGATTAAGTAAACAATGTTTGACATATCACGATGTTGACCAAAAGAATTTACTATCGACTTGAGTCGTGTTTTAGGCCCTATTGACTTTGGCTGATCTTCAGCCAGGACGAAGAACCTCCGATGGATCAGGATTCAATGGGGGCTCTTCGGACGCGCCGGCTCGGCCAAGGTCAGAACATGACTTAAGTGGGTAACCGACTTTTAAACCTGACGGAACACTAATGACTATAGCATAAAGCGTTGACCCTAAAATACTACTATATATGTTTAGGATGCATGTAGGGTGGTTATAATAACATTTAAAGTGAATTCTAACTCTGTCTTTTTGTGTTTATATAGGCAGTTTAAAAATATATTTATTGGTGTTTGAAAGTATATTAAACAGTTAAATGGTTAACCATTTTACCAACCTCTATTTGTCTAATATGGAGCGGATTAAATGTATTCTCTTAACGTAGTTTTGATCTTTTACTGATATATCCCTCTCCTCGTCTATTCCTTTCATTTGCATAGATAATTTATTTTAAGAGTATACAGGGTGTTCTCGAACTTATGGCACTAAATTCTAGGGGTGGTAGTTTGCATAATTTGAGACCGATTCGCAGGTTTTAATTTTTCTAAAAAATTTATAATAAACAAAATTTGAAATATTAAAAATATTTCAAAGAAATGCGGTTCTGTACATCGGTTGAAACCCCTCGACCTCGAGATAGATCGCATTCAGCATAGGTTAGAATCGACAAAATAATGTTTTATACATTAAGAGGGATATCTTATTCGAATTTTGTTTATTACTTATTTATTCCGTATGGTCTCTAAGTTTTTAGAATGATGGATAAATTATAAAAGTAAACCGGAATTTTCAAACAATAGAAGAAAATAAACTTTAAACTCGAAAGAAATATTAGCTCACCTATTTTGTTGTTGAACGCGTGTGGCATTGCCAATTTTGCAAATAATTGTTCCAGAACATCACTAACATAACAACTAACTAAACTCAGAAGAATACTAAGAACTAAAACGATATTATAATCAAAAACAATACAATTTGCACTAGAAAACAATCTGTATCGGTAACGTTTTTCGAAAACTGGAACTGTTTTTTAAGTTAAAATTCCGATCAGCAGACTATTCAGGCCAGGGTTGTATTCACTCTTTGCATTTATTTCTAATGGCTCTATTTTGTTTATTATAATTTTTTTAGAAAAATGAAATCTGCGAATCGGTCTTAAATTATGCAAACTACCACCCCTAGAATTTAGTGCCATAAGTTCTAGAACACCCTGTATTTTTTATTCTATAAAATAAATAACATGTCTAAAGTGCAAATGATTTGCAGATATAGTTAGTAAAGGAACAGCATCTTATGGTTAAACTTTACAATGTTCACAAATTCTATTAATTAAATTACTGCGTCTCAAAAAAAAACACAATGAGATGCTCTCTAATTTATTGATCTACAATATTCAAACAAAAGTTCATTAAACAGAAGAGTAGGTATATGCAGATATTTGTCTTTGAGCAGGTACATTCTAAATTAACAATGACTGTTCAATTTGCAGTATTTGTCATCAACATTACGTAAGAATATGCAGCTTTTAAAACCTACAAAAAGATTTTGAAGATTCATGATACTCTACAGTTGCGAAAATTTTCTCCTAAAAGGAGTAAAATAAAAACAGAACAAAAAATCATAAGAGGCATAAGAGCAAAGTAACCCCATTTTTTTTATTTAAAATAAGTAATAGGTATTATTAATTACCATTAAAAAAGGCGGATAACCCACATCTCCTATGAAAATAGCCTTCAAAGACATGTATTTTTGGCATCTCATTAAAACAAAACAGATTTCTTTTTGCATTGAAATGTCGTAATTGGTCCAATTAGACGCGTAAACGAGTTCCGCAACTTTCAGACTCTATCAAAATCAATTAATTAATATATTACTTAATTGATAAAAACTAGAAAAGAAATTAATTAATTATATATTTTACCGTATCTTGTAATCTTTGTCCACCCTGACAAACCAAAAAGACGCCGACTACCCAGCCTATACACATCATAAATGTGGATAATTGAGGAGTCTAAAAGAAAATATGATACATATAAAAGTGCATGATGGTTAACTTCTCTTGGTATTTTCGTAATAAAGACCCTCATCGGAATGTCCTTGTATAAATGGTAAAAGAAACAATAATATGCTACCAATATTATCAGTCCTATCACCATCCAAATAAAGAACCTTTTGGGATATTGCAAATAAATCTTACTTAAGTGATAGATAAGCCTCAAAGTAGAGATGTGAAATTTTGAAGCGCGAAAGATATAGCTAATTTCCGCGAAGGGCTCATTTTCATCACTGAATTGATCAGGAATATACATTTTAAGTACTTAACCAAAAATTTTAAATTTACTAACTTGTATAAAAGAGTAAAGGTCGTAACCCAAGATGACGGAAGTCATAAACATATGAGCAAACATGAAAACGCTATATATATCCTCCAACAATTCAGCTAATCTGAAATTAATTCGGATAAAATCTACCAACAACATTCCATCCTTCCCAAATCACCTCACCTAATCGAATTTTTGTGATATTTAACCGCTTTATTCAACAACAATCTTCTCTTTTGGTCATCTTCCTCATCAGCTGCCACTGTAAACAAGTATCCGGAATGCTTGAATCTGATGGCAACATGCTCAGAGGATTCGAGTACCATCCAAGCGCACACACCGATAAAACTGTGAACGAACTGGCCGCTAATGATCTGCCAAAGCAAATACATTTGCCGAACAGGCGTAAAGTCGATGTCGAAAGGCAACCAAGTGTACAAGTAGAGTCCGCAAACTTCGTGCATTCCTTTTTCCTCATTCTCTCTTCTACAAGTCTCTACTTTGAAGACATTTGAAGAGAGCGAGCTGGAGGTTCATGAAGTGATTAGGAATTTGAAAAGATATTGTGCCTAATTACAGTATGCTTACTAAAAAAACTTAATCGGTACAGTAATTTTGGACTAGTGCAATAATAATTAATCACTAATAACAATAATTAACACAAACTCTTGATTTTTTCTAGTACTTTTAGTGGGTTGACGAAAACTATACTAATTATTTACCTTGTTAAAATAAGAGTGTGTATATAAACTAAATGCATAATGGCATATTTGTTGTATCTCTTATTTGTTTCTTCGAAATCCATAGGTTTTTCGTATTCATGAAAATTCGAAAGTTCCTTGTAAAACTGAATAATTGATTTCATTTTCAGTAACAAGGATAACATTAAAAAGTATCCAATAAGCATAGCCGTTATATAAGCGACATCCAGTTCAACCTGGTTGAAGATTTTTACTGAAAATAATTTCTAACATTAACAGGGTATTGGATTTTATTTAAAACAAGTTTGCTTTATCTCTGTGGCTCAAAATGAACAAAATTTATATGAAGTTAGGTATTTTGATATTATCTATAGACTGCCGAATTATTGATATCTATTTTCTGGTCACCGTCATATTGTATTATAATAAACAATATTTTTACCAATGAAGCTGTGTATTAAATGAAGCATGCAGCCGACTAGCAGGACAGAACTGCACACCGCCCTCATCACAAACTTGAAATAAAACATTCTACCAGGATTCGTAAATTCGTGATTCCCTGGAAATCCTCCCAACAATTGAAAATATTTTATTGAAATCGACATACCGACAAGTTTAATGTTGTTCTCCATGTTGGTCGATTTCTTCTTACGAACTGCTTTTGGCAAAATTATTGTTGCGCTTTTATATGCGAAATATTCCAATTAAATATTTAAATTCTTCCAACATTTCAACAGAAATGTGGTTGTGCACTTATCAAAATAGATATTCCACTATGCAATTTTCACATACTAATAAATTCTCTGATTTTCAATTATTTGCAACTACGAGACTTATGATTGTGTACGGACGACAAAAAATTTCTTCTATTTTTTAAAATCTTCAATATTTTATTACATTTAATCATTCATGTCTTTTCGGTAAAAAATGGCTATATAATTTATAACACGATTGCAGTTTTGCAGAAATAAAACATTCATGAATGCATGCTTTTTTTACTTTCTATCATCTAAAACAGCACCGAAATATCCTAAGAATCGATAAAATCCACGAATCTATGTAAACATATTGGGCCATTTTGTACTTGCAGTAATTAATGCATCTCTTTAAATACTCGTTAATGATGTATCTCTGTAATGATCGTTATCATCAGCTTAACTAAATATTTAACACTTCTCTGGATACTCTGTTGAGAGAAAGGAAATCGTTAATTCTCTGCAGCACCATGGAAGGACAAACATCAGAGATATAGCATGTTTAAGTAGGTAATGTACTTTTAATCCTGACGGAAAACTAATGATTGTTGGCTTAAGCCGTTGACACAAAATTACCTAATACTAATAATCCTCTTCTATTTCTCCCATTTGCATATTGATAATTTATTTTAAAAGTTTATTTTCAATCAATCTTCAATTTAAATTTATATTATCTCTAAAGTAAAAATGATTTTCAGATAATAAGCAAAACGATCTACATCTTGTGATGGAATTTTCTAATGCACATAAAAATGCTATCTTCAGCAAATAATATTTGTCAAGTAGGTACTTTTTTGAAAGAATAAATTTATATTCAATTCAATTAAATTAATGTGTCTCATAAAAAACAATGTGATGCTCTCTAATTTATTGATCTACAATATTCAAACAAAATTTAGTATTTTACAATCTACAAACTACTAAATGCATAAGCAGATATTCATTAATCCATGTGTAATTAATCCGAAATTAGCCGTGTCTGTTTAACTTCCAGTATTAGTCATCAACATAACGTAAGAATATGCAGCTTTAAGAACCTATAAAAAATTGAAATTGTAACGTGTATTATTTAAAAATATAACTTTCAATCAATAGTTATGGCAATTTTAAGTGCTATGTGAAAATGAAAAAGAATCAACCACAGTTTAAATGAAATTATCAGCCTTAAGACCAAAATAACCCCAATATACACCATTTCCAAAAACGAGTTTTGTTTAAAATAAATAATATTATTATAATTACACTTAAAAATGGCATATAGCCCACGTCTCCTATGAAAATCGCTTTCAAAGACATGTGTTTTTGGCATCTCATTATAACAAAACTGACTTCTTTTTGCATTGAAATGTCGTAATCTGTCCAATTAGATGCGTAAACTTCATCCCCAACTTGGCGACTCTATAAAATCAATTAATTGATAAATTAATTAATTTACAAAATCCCGAGTCTTTAAGAATTTTTATCAGAAATAAATTTAATTATATATTTTACCATATCTTGTAATCTTTGCCCACCATGCGAAACCATAAAGACGCCGTTTACCCAAGCTATTGACATTATGAACGTGGATACATCATAAGTCTAAAAGAAAATGATTTAACAAATTTGTGAAAATTAAAAAAAACATCAACTTTTAAAAAAGCGTAAAGGTCGTAACCCAAGATCACAGAAGTCATAAACATATGAGCAAACATGAAAACGTAATAGATCTCCGCCAACAATTCGCCCAATCTGAAAGTAATTCGAATAAAATTCATTAACAACATTCCGAGTTGTCCCGAATCATCTCACCTAATCGAATATTTGTGATATTTAATCGCCTTATGGAACAAAATTTTTTTCTTTCGGGCATCGTTCTCTACCCCTGCCAATGAATACAAATATCCAGAATGCTTGAATCTGATGGACACATGCTCAGAGGATTCGAGTACCATCCAAGCGCACACACCGATAAAAGTATGAACGTATGTGGTGCTAATGATCTGACAAATCGCGTAAATTTGTTTAACGGGCGTAAAATCGATGTTAAAAGGCAACCAAACATATAAGTAGAGCCCGCAAACTTCGTGAATTCCTTTTTCCATGTTCTCTCTTCTACAAGTCTCTATCTTGAAGATATTTGAAAAGAGTGAGCTGGAAGTTTAATTGTTGATTAGGGATTGATTAGTATGATTCATGGCGTTTTCCATTGGTAAAATAGTGCGCACTGAAAATGCACTAAAAGCGAAATTTTTGTTTCATTTGGTGCAATTTGCGAGTGTTTTGATAACAAATAAAACAAAAAATTTGCTTTGAGTGCACTTTCAGTGCGCACTATTTTACCAATGGAAAACGCCATCAGTAATCTAGAAGAACTCTATTTGTCTAGTAATTTTGGATATCATCGACCGTATTCAGCGCTTTTCAAGAAGGAGATTCTTGCGTTTTATGCTAATTATCAAGGTACCTACCTACTTTCTTGTCACTATATACGGTTAAGAGACTATTTAAACTTTCAACGATTGCTTAGAGTTAAAATTAACGCTGAATACGGGTTAAAATAAAGTTAAAAAGTTATTGGTATCTTTGACAATATTTTCTAGTGGCATAAACCTTTCCCAAATAAATTCCGATTCGATTAATTGTAATTTTTAAATCTTCATATTACAAACATTAAGGTTTAAAAACAATAAAATACATCCAAATCAAAATAATCAGATACCATTGTTAAATTCTTGTTAAATGAAAAAGTCTTAAAATTGATCAATACTGAATGTTGAAGGATAGTAGATAGTGTAGATACCAAACTTTTTCTCTTTTTTAGTGCTTTTAGTTGATTGAAGAAAACTGTCCTACTTATTCACCTCGTTAAAACAAAAATCATTATATAAATAAAGTGCATTAGGGCGTATTTGTTGTATCTTCTGTTCGTTTCTTCGAAATCCATCGGTTTTTCGTATTCTTTAAAATTCGACAGTTCTGTGTAAAATTTACCTATCTTATCCATTTTCAGTATGAGTGATAACATTAAAAAGTAACCAATAAGTAGAGCCGTTGAGTAAGCGACATCCAATTCAACATGGTTGAAAATGTTTACTGAAAATTAGTCCTTATATTAACAGAGGGTATCTATTTGACAATGAAGTTCGGTATATCTCGAAACATAAACCCTTAAAGATCTTGAGATACAAGTTATAGAAAAACGTAAGCAAATCTGTTATTAGAAATAACTTAACAATTGTGATATAAATTTAGTATCTACAGATTAATTATTAATATTATGTGTAAATTTTTGAGTAACTTTTTGAGTAACTTTTTGAGTAAATTATTTTTATTGTTGTATATCAAGTACACTCTGGAAAGAACCATTTTGAGAATAGCATCATTCAATATAAGTTATTTATTTAAAATACTTTCATCTAAACCAATTAAAAATTATCTCAACGTCCATATAATTCCACAAATTAAATAAAAATATTCAAAAAAAAAGAAAATAATACCCAAACTCTTAATATTGTACTATAATGAACTATATTTTTACCAATTATGCTGTGTACTAAATGAAGAATGGATCCGATAAGCAAGAAAGAACTCAACACCGCCTTTACCACAAACTTGATATAAAATATTTTGCCAGGATTCAAAAATTCGTGATTTTGAGGAAATCCTCCGTAGTATTGGAACAATTTTATTGAGAACGACATACTGACGCGTTTAATTTCGTTCTCCATACTGGAGGATTTCTTTTTATAAACTGGATATGACAAAATCATTTTTGTGCTTTTATATGCAAAATACCCAATTAAATATTTAGATTCATCAACACCTCAACAGAAATGTGAAAGGGTATTTGACAAAATAGATATTTCAATAGATATTTCACTATACAATTTTCACATACTAAACAATTCTCCGAGATTTTCTATTATTTGCAACTTATGATTGTGTACAGGCGACAAATCTTTTCTTCAATTTTTTATTATCTTCAATATTTGAATATCATGCGACTTCAATATTTTATTGTATTTAATCATTCATGTTGTAATGGATTTTCGCAGTAATATACAATTTTGCTCTACTTAGGCAAAATTTTATAGTACTTTTGTCTAAAGTACTTTATTCAAAAATGTATAGGTACATACCAACCTACTAAAATATTTTTTTTGAAAAAAAAATGTCCGATGCAGACCTTTAGTAATTATTTTTTTACTAGGATACCCTTGAAGATATGAACACGGTTTTTGTACGGTGTCTAGCTAGATAAAAAGGTATTGGACAATACATAAAGATATTATAAATAAATTATGAATTTCCACAAAAAATGTTAAATATAGCAACAATTATTATAAAACCGTACAAGCCACAATCCTTTATCACAGAAGGCATAAGCATTTTTAAAACAACAAAAAATCCAGCATTCCCAAATCATCTCACTTAATCGAATATGTGTGGTATCTAACCGCCTTATTGGACAACAAATCCTATAAAATATTTAAATTAATCCGCCAATTGAACGGAAACGTGGAAGCGTACTTATCAAAGTATACACATCGATATGCAATTTGCACATACTAATAAATTCTCCGAGATTTTCCATTTGCTTGCAATTACTTACGACAGTGTACGGACGTCAAATGTTCTTCAATATTTTAGTGCATTTAATCATTCATGTCATTTCAGTTTATAAAGGCGGTATAATAATTAGCCACACGAGTTGTACAAAGATAAAACATTCATATTTTCACGTGTATTACTCCATTTTACAATTTTAGACCAAGATCAAATATTTAACTTTGAGTAATTTCAAACAATAGTTACACTCAAGCACCTCCATTATCAACAAAAAATCCAAGATTTAACACCAACAAAACTTTTACATCATCAACAAAGTTTACTTTTAAGGATTCGAAGGAAAGCCACTTAAACATATCAGAAGCGCTATCTTCAACGTCCCACGAGAGCAAAAATATGTCAGCATTTTATTGTGGATTTTTTTATGCTCAGAGAAAATGTGAGAATTAAATATGTCTTATAAAAAACATTGTAATGCTCTCTACTTTATTGATCTACAATATTCAATACAAAAATCTATCAAATATTAAATGTAAGCAGAATTTATCCATGAGATAGCCATGACATGTTAATTTTCGCTGTTATACATCAACATTACGTAAGAATATGCTGCTTTTATTACCTACAAAAATAATTTATCATAATCGTGAAAATTTAATACCGTGAATACGATGAAGTAGGGTGAATTTGCTCTTTTTGGTGAATGTTTCTCTTTAAAGCAAAATATCAGCCGTAAGAGCAAAGCAACCTTACTAATATACGATAACTATTTTTGTTCAAAATAAATTAATAATTAGGTACCATTAAAAAAGGCGGATAACCCACATCTCCTATGAAAATCGCCTTCAAAGACATGTGTCTTTGGCATCTCATTATAACAAAACCGATTTCTTTTTGCATTACATTATCGCAATTGGTCCAATTAGATGCGCCAACAACATCACCAACGTGGAGACTCTGCGAAATCAATTAAATCGTATGATTTAATTAAGTGATAATATCCCGAATTTTTATTTTATATGTATATTTACCTCGTCTTGTAATCTTTGCCCACCGTGACAAACCATAAAGACGCCGAATAACCAGCCTAAAGACATCATTAATGTGGATAGATCTTGAGTCTAGAGCAAAGTATATTTTTTGAATTTCCGAAAGAAATTCGCAAATTTTGATAAAATGATTCATTATGATATTAATTAGTGGAGAAGCATTTGTTAATATGCTAAGCGTTTCAAAATTCAGGAGCGAGGAACTGACTCTTCATGGCCCTTTCCCATAACCAATTTCTTTTTTGAATGGTTTTTGGATTTTGCATTAATTCCAAATACAATGTATAAAGAAAGTTAAAAATACAAATTCCAAATACTAACATTATTAAATTTATCTACTAACTTTTAAAAAAGCGTAAACGCCATAGCCCATGATCACAGAAGTCATAAACATATGAGCAAACATGAAAACGCTGTAAGTCTCCGCTATCCATTCAGCTAATCTGAAATGCAGCATTCGAGCCAAAATGATTAACATCTAACATACCGGATGTTCCGAATCATCTCACCTAATCGAATATTGGTGATATCTAACCGCCTTATTAAACAGCAATCTTCTCTTTTGGGCATGTTCCTCTTCAGGAACCAGGGAATACAGGTGTGCAGAATGCTTGAATCTGATGTTAACGTGCTCGACGGATTCGAAGACCATCCAAGAGCACACGCCGATAAAAGTGTAAATGTATTGGGCGCTAACGAGCTGCCAAATTAGATAAATTTGCCTTACCGGCGTAAAGTCGATGTCGAAAGGCAACCAAGTGTATAAGTAGAGTCCGCAAACTTCGTGGATTCCTTTTTCCACGTTCTCTTGTCTACACGTATCTACCTTGAAGATATTTGAACCGAGTGTGCTGGAAGTTAAATCAAAGGTAATAGCAATTTATAAAGAGGAAGTCCCTACATAGGGTGAGTGTACCAGTAATGCACCAGGTACCAGTTTAATAGACCGGTAGACCTACTGTGAAAATTAGGTTTTGTTTCAATTTTTCACCACTTTTATACCGCTTGGTGTACTTGAAGAACATTTACTGATGGGTTAATAATAACCCGTAGGTGCGGTCGGTACCTCGTCAAAATATCCTAAGACAAAACAACCCCTACAGAATTGCCCAAAAACAAAATCTCCCAAGGCAGAATAGTCGCGACAAAAAGCCCTGACAAAATGGCCCAAAGAAAAAATCGCCGAAGACAAATTAGCCCAAAGACAAAATCGTTTAAGACAAAATAGCCCAAAGCAAAATCGCTCAAGACAAAATAGGCCAAAGACAAAATCGCCCAAGACAGATTCGCGCAAATACAATATAAAATACTGTTTCAAAATGTCTCTTAAGTGGTTTAACACTGATACACCCACCCTACCTTTTAGATATCTAAAAGAACTAAATGAGTCATTTGTATAGGTAACTTTGGATAGGTATTATCTATTTAAAAAGTACCTACCTAATCGGTATCGCATTGGTATCTTTCTCTTTTTTAATGTTTTCAGTTAATTGATGAGTACTGTCTTATTAACTTACCTCATCATAATAATAATCTGCAAATAAATCAAGTGCATTAGGGAATATTTGTTGTATTTCTTGTTCGTCTCTTCGAAATCCATTGGTTTTTCGTATTCTTCGAAATTCGATAGTTCCTTGTACAAACGAACTATCAAATCCATTTTCAGCAAGAAGGAAAACATTAAAGAGTAACCGGTAAACATGGCCGTTGTGTAAGCGATATCCAATTCAATGTGGTTGAAAATATTTTCTAAAAATCATTTCTATTGTTAAGAAGTTGACCAACAACACATAACAAACAACGAAGAAGTTGTTCATATATCCTGGAAAGGGTTTTAAGGTAGGAGGTACAGAAAAGCCAAAAAATCAGTAATAGAGTAATAGAGTAATCACCGAAGAACGATTTTTGATACAAAATTGAAATTTAATACATATTAATATTAGAGGATTTTGTTTTGGAAAAATTATTATTATAACTCGCATATACTAACTTAAGTTTCCTAATACTCAGATGATTACCAAAATAAAAAGACTGGATTTTGTTTTCTTCTCTACATCCTGTATATCACAAAGCAAACTCTACAAAGAGGCATTTAGAAAATAGTTAAACTAATAAACTTTTAATCCATATAACTATTAATATGAGGGAGAAAGAAAGAAAACAATTTAGAAAATTTTGTAAAAAGTATACCAATTTTTTATTTGTATTTTATACAGGGTGTCCCAAAGTAGCCTCTTTAATGAGCTTATAATTTTAAAAGCCTAGTCATAAAAACATGCGGTTTTTTAAGTATGTTTTATTTTATTAGTTTTGTTACAATGATACAGAAATTATGCATGTACCAATACAGGGTATTATATCAAAATCTCCTCTTTTAAATTCGTAGTAACCAATTTTAATTAAATGAAACACCCCGTATATGTTGAGGTATTTTGAAAGATATACTCTTCTACTTTTCAAAAATTTATTATTTGTACATGTTATTCTACAAAAGAAGACGTCCTATTTCATAAAATTCGGTTAATGTGAATTTAAAAGAGTGGATTTTTATGAAACACCCTGTAAAAGCGATACAAATTTTTTTGTGTCACTGTAACAAAAAGTTATAGCAAAATAAAATGTATCTACGAAAATCGCATGTTTGTATGATTAGGCGTTTAAAATTATTAGCTCATTAAAGAGGCCACTTTTCATTGTTACACCCTGTATTTTATATTAATGAACTATATAATTTACCAATAATGTTTTGCGTTAAATGAAGAGAACTGCTGACAAGCAGAACAGAAGTCAACACGGCCCTCATCACATACTTGAAATAAAACATTTTACTGGGATTCGTAAATTCCTGATCCTTCGGAAATCCACCGAGAAATTGAAAAACTTTTATTGAAAACGACATACTGGCGAGCTTAATGTCGTTCTCCATTCTGATCAAATGATTTTCACAAACTACATGTTGCAAAATCCATCTTGGAGCTTTTAAATGCAAAATGTTCCAATTAAATATTCAAATTGATCCGCCATTTGTACTGGCAGCCTACTTATCAAAATACATATACACATCGCTATGCAATTTTCACATACTAATAAATTCTCCCAGGTTTTCAATTATTTGCAATTACATACGATTGTGTACAAACGAAAAGTACGTTCAGTACATAATTGCGATATAATTGACAAAACGATTTCAGTTATACAGAAATGAAACCATCACGTTTTCATGCCTATTTATTACTCCCTACAATCTAAAACAACACCAAATTATCCTTTGAATCTACAAAATCCTCGGGCCTCTGTAAAACATCCGGCGCCATTTTGTACTTGCAGTAATTGATGCTCCTCTGCAAGTACTCGTAACTCAACCCCGCATCGTTATCGTCAGCGTAAGCCTGACTGTTTCTGGACGCTTCTCTGGACACCTCGAATTTGATCCATTTGTAATTGGAACAACGCCTGGCACCGTTGGAATTCTGGATCAGGTGCTGGACGGTGGGGTGAGTCAATCCGAAGAAATCGTGTCCTCTGGGCCTCGTGCTCACCACGTTCAGCGAAAGGGAATCGTTGATTCTCTGGAGCAGCAGGGAATGGCAAACGTCCGGAGTGTCACCTGTTATTGGGGGATTCCAGTCGTCTGAAGCTATCTCAAACCTAGGAATAGAATATAATATTTTTATGGAAATATTGCAGGTTCTTATGAAGATAATAGACTTGACACTTCTACTCTTGAGAGTACTTTGAGAGTATCTAGAGCAACTGTAGTACAAAACAGGCTTAAACAATGAGCAACGAGCCAAAACTACTGGTCTGGAAAGGTCTAATACTGGATAAAAATGCCTCAAGCATACGAAAATGGCTCACCTAGGCATGTCATTGGCATTGGATATCTTGCATGTGTAAATACATTTCTGAGTGGGATCTTGCAAGCTTCCATAGACCCTTGTCGAGACGTATCCGGCTGGATAAATGGAAAATTCCGTGTGAAAATCGGGTTTATTATGTACGACTTCGCCTAAGGAATGTACGGTTAAGCGTCCTAATTCTATGGGAAACACCGGCTTGCCGTTGTGATCGACCGGAATGGGCTGGACGATTTTTTTCCTGCTTTTAGAAGAGCTTTTCCTGCTAGACGGCCTCTTTTCTGCAATGCACGCAGTTAGAATTGTGTGGAATGTTGATTAAAGAATATGGTCTTTACCTGTATGGCCTTTTCGCCTGGGTTTCTTCGGATCGGTTGGAGTTCCGGAAACTGAATTGGACTGAGGGAAACTCTCTTTTGCGGCGTTCTGGACTTCGAGGGCTACCTGTGGTTCGTATTCGCATAATTTCCTCAGCAAGAATTTCCTCTCTTCCTTGCGTATTATTGTGTTTATTTGCACTTCTTCCAATTCATCAATTAAAGCTGCATTCTCCTATAATATTAATCGTAAAGTTAAATACTTACTGAATATGCATACACATAGCTCCGCATATACTGAATTTACATACGTATACAGGGTGTTTACAAAGCTAATTCATTAATTGATATAACTTACGTGAACATATTCCCTGATCATTTGCTTTAATAACATAACCTTCTGCTTGTATTTGCCGGGAGATTTATCGAATTTGCCTCTTTGGGTAAAATTTTTACGTCGGAAGTTCGAGTTATTATAATCGTAATTCATTTTAATTAACTAATTTCCAATTAAAAATTATGTTTTAGTTACTTAACCTAGAATGTGTAATTACAACTACAACTGTAATTAGTAACAATATTTCTTAACGAATTTTTAATTACCAAATGGTCATTTTTAGTGTTAATTCTGATATAATAAAATTTAATTTCGTTGAATAATGAACAGTTTGTTTTTGTATTTTTGGTATTTTGTAGGTGTAGAGATGCGTGGGAAGTAACACTTGATAGATGTTAAAGAGATGAGGTTATACGTGATCTATGGATTGAAAAGAGATGAAATGTGTTATATTAGATTTAACTCATCGCTTCATAAACTCTATCAAATATGGAAATATAAACAAGGGTGATCTTGTACGTCAATGTCACCTGTCAGCTGTCAAAAAAATATATATGAAAAGTACGTTCCGTTTTAATTAATTTAGAAATTCAATAAAATTTAGTAAAATTAGTAAAAAAGGGATATTCTAAATCAAAATCAAACACTTTTTAACTACATTTTTATTATATATTAGTTATCCCAACTTTATCGATTTGCTCGAGCACAAACTTCAAATTGCTATCGAACAGCTCACACCTAATCGGCATCTCTAGAGAATAAAATGGATTCTTTAAAGCATAATCCGCGTACAATTCGTATATTCTTTTAAGCAATATTTCCACCCCAGTTTGAGCCCTATCGGTGACTATCATCAATTTAACTCCAGTTAAAGTCTGGAAACAGTTTAGCCGAAAAGTATCTGCTTCGAGGACTTCAATTCCTGATGACTTCGGCTCGGGACTCAGCTGGCTAGCGATGGCAAATAATGGGTAAAACATGCTAGCCAGGAATATTTTTTCGTTTGTTGTCATTTTGGGCCTGCTGAATTGTAATGTAACTGGATAATTTTCTTTTTTTTCTATGAATTCAAGAGCGTCTTGTCCGTTGTCCATCTGTTGACCAGTTACAGGAATCCCATTCACAGAGTTTAAAACATGACCAACTGCAATATAACGAGTACAATGCAATGGAATTTATTGAATTAATGGAATAGGGTACCTTGAATTCCATCTTTTTGACCAAATTCTACAACTATTTTTTTATTCTCCGTTCTCAATTTTATGTCTAAAGGGTAAGAGAATTTCTTTTCCGTTTCGATTTTCGGAATTACATTATCGTAGTTGAATATTAATCCTCCGGATTTCGAAACAATATAAATACCGTAAATAACCATTTTACATATTATTTTAATAAATAAACTAGTGACAACTTAACCTAACGTCAAAATAGTGAAGTTAGCAATTTGAGTTTGACACTGACATTAAAAACGACACAAAGTGGCCTTTTACGTTTCGTGTATTTTTTAACAGCAATAAACCACAAGTTTTTTATAAATAAAATTCTAGATAAAAAAAATTAATTTCCTCCCCCGAAAAAGAATTTACGCCTAGCCTCTTCTGCAGCTCTAATAGCAGCTTTTTCAGCTTCGATAACGTCACTTATAGCATAAACATTGTCAGGTCCAGAGGGCTCATACTGAAAATATATTTATAAATATAGTTATAGTATCAGAAAATATGGAATTTCTTACAATAATCTGATTGATATAATAATGATAGGGACAGGTATTCGAAAGAGGATCGATAGCCAATTCTAGCATCTCATCGATTTCGTCCTGCGAAAGAGGTTCTCCGTATTGCGTCATGAAGATTATGAGATCCTGTTTGGAAATGAATCCTTTACCTAAGGGATCCAATACTCTAAATGCTTCCAACAATTCCTCAGGACGTTCCGGTTCGAATCTTACAAAAATTGTATTTGTAGTTCAAATGAATATTCCAAAATAACAGGGTGTCCAAAATAGGGGAAGGACAGAACCACCATGTATAATAGAGCATCATAAGGTGCATATGTTAGAGCGATTTTGGGGAAAATTTGAATTTAAATCCAATTGGCCTATTTTAAAATCTTACTTAATTAGCTTTATATATGTAGTTCAAAAGTCCCCGCAACTTTGGTACACTCTATATTTAAACGTACTTATGCTCTATAAAGCAATCCACAACTACCGGCAAAAAGTGCCTCAAATGGACGTTTCCAGGCAAACGAGGATGTTCCACTTCTTCTATAATTTCGTTCACTTCCTGTTCAGTAGGACACATGCCGAGTCCTCTTAATATCGTGGATACATCCCGCAATTCGCACATTTGCATGTTTTCCACGTCGAACACGAAGAATATCTCCGCGATTTTCTTGTCCAACTCGGTCTCCAACGGCACTGGAAATATTTTGGATATTGTTAGTTGAAATCCGAAGGGTTTAATTTATCAATTATTATCCAGTATTGAATGTTACGTCTTTAGTTATTGGGTCTGTTTTAGATGGAAATGTTCAGATTAGGACTAATCAGGATCATAGATTTTTTTGAAAAGTTTTCACCTACGATATTTACCCGCATACCCTAATTAATACCTTAATAGCTAAATTAAATTTACTAAAGGGTTTAGAAAATGTACTAAATTAACTAAATAAAAAATTACTAAACCCAAATGCACCTAATTAACAAGTTTTATTCTACAATAAACATTTTTTTCATGCAAACGACCTTTTGACATCATCAGTTCCTGATCATCAGTTTCCATCAAAAACAGCACTCAAACAACCTATTTTCTCATCTTCCTCGTCAGGGCCAGGCGGAGGAGGCGCTCCAGCAGCAGCAGGTACAATAGAAGACGGTTGCTCAGCCATTTCACTTCACTTAAGAAAATTTACCAAAACTCGCAAGAAACTCTCGAATTTCTAACGATCAGTTACCAGAGTAACAACCATAACAACTGGATCAAGTCGCAGGAAAATCATCAATAAAGTGACGCGTAATTTAAACGTTAACAAAACGTCAATTTAGAAATTTTGGAAATGGACTAAAAATTCATCGAATCACATTAATACATGTAATTTTTCAAAAATGTTAAAATAAGCAATCAGAATGCCTGTCGAAGAATTCAAAATACTCAGTAAAGAAGACCGATTGATCAAACGCCTGCCGTCGGAGAGTTCCGTTCCCCAGGTCATCAGGAACAAGCTCCCGGATCTGAACGACGTGTTGAACATCCAGAACCAAGATAAACTGACAAAAAGCCCCAAAAATCTAGAGGGCAACCTACAACCCTCGCCAGTATTGATATCTTTATACTTAGAGTTCAAGAAAGTCGTTTCCAAGTGCGATGAAAGCATAAGGAAGAAATTAACACCGCTCATGGTGAACGTCCTGGAATGCATAAACACGGCCTATCAAGTAAACAGAGACTTCAACTTCAGGATACAATTGTTAGAAACTGATAACCATCAACTGATCCAGCAGTGCACTAAGTTGCAAAATGCTGAGAGGGAGTATTATGATTACAAAATCCACATTCAGAAGGAGCTCAAAGATATGCTAAATAAACTGGAAGTATACCGAAACAACGCTTATCTCTTCGAAATGAGACACAAAAACATTCTGGAATATTCCAGGGGACTCGAGGAGCAGTCCAGGCAGATGCGGAAAGAACACAACATCCTGCAACAAAAATACGTGAAGTTGTTTAGGCATTATGTAGTTTGTACAGAAAAGTCTGAATTACCCGATATTCTAGAAGAAGATTTGTACATTGTTAAACAACTTTTCGAAAGAAAAACGAAAGAAAACAAACAAACGCCTAATAAACCAACTAAACCTGCAATTATTACGAGAGCAGAAGTTCACAGGGAAAACACAGATGAAAAATACAATGTAATGATCAGTAAATTGAAAAAACAAATAACGGAATTGCAAGGAGAAATTAAAAAGTACAAATACAAACTAAACGCGCAGAGAAACGAGATGGATTATAGAACGAGAAGAATTTACTACAAAGCAGATGTAGCAAGGTACTTTATAGTGAGGAAAAGGTTTTACGTGGGCCTGGAGGAGCCGGTGGAATGGACTTCCATAATCGATCCTTCTGCTTGGGTAGTGGAGAATTTTACCAATTACTCCAATGTGATCGCCATACCTAAAAGGCTTTGTAATTAATCATCTGGAAAGAAAACTAATGAAGTTTTTTTGTTGTTGGGATATGTATGTACTATGATTTATGATCCATACAATTTTGTCGAATTTTGTGTTTTATTCTTTAAAATTCAATCGAAACCATTGATAATTGATCGACTAACCTGGTTAAGTGTTAATTAACAAGTATTAATACAGTAACAACCTTAAATAGCTCTTCTTAATTATATCGATCTGTATAACATATTCTTGTTATGTTGTGAGAGATCCTTCTGGCTGGGATGAAGAGTTTTAATTATAAACAAACTTAATTTTGTTTAATATTTATTAATTTAAGGGTTCTAGGACCTTTCTAACAAAGGTCAATAGCGGATTCTCCAAAATTTTCCAGCTCGCCAATATTCTACCAGCAGGATAACGGTCCTGCAATCTTTACACACCTCCAGGACCTTAACACAAAGCAAGTGCAGAAAAAAGAGAACTTGGAGAGATTGAAGAATTTCAGTAAGATGATCGGATGCGGTACTTAGTAAAAGGTCATATAATAAGAGAAGAATAAGAAGAATTTCAGCGTCTTGTTATTCCCATATTTTGTGTATATGGATATGGCAAATGTAGTCGTGATAATGACAAAAAAATCAGTAGTTTTTTTTATCATTTGTTCAAACCAGAAGCTGGACAGGGATTTTTGTCGTATTGAAATCAATAAATCGAAAAAAGAAGTGGCTGCTGACATTTTACTTACAAGTCATTTCAATCTGAACCCTCAGTACACTCTGAAGTTAGCTCCTAATAGTAGCACCATCTGTCACCGTTTTGTAAAAACAATTTAATTTGCTTCCAATTATTTAAAAAACGAACCCAAAACAATTTCGCAAAAATAAAAAATTTACTCTTACACAGTTTACCAATTTATAGCATACAAGAATTGTTTTGAATTCCATTAAAGAACGTTTAATCGAGAATATCAGACTGACTTTGACAGGGAGCAATTATAACAGAATTTGAGGCAAGTATAAAACAATTTACTTACTGTTTACATAAAAAATCGTTAATATTACTCGTTTAAAACTTATTAAATTCACTATTGAATCGTTCACTTTATACATCTTATTTAATTCACGATTAAACATACAAATAAGTGCAAATTTCTTTGCAAAATATGACCAATTTTATGAGTTGAACAAAGAAATATTATTAAAATAACAGTGTAGAGTGAGAAAGTTGCAATCCCACAATATCACCCTTTCTTTATTTTTATTTGAGACTAATGGAAGTTACCTTTGTTGCACTCATAGCCTGTATTACAAACAAATTTGCACTTACCTTATTCATTTAAATTCTCTCAGATGTTCGAGGACGAAAACCAAATCACAGTGGAAGAAGCCAATAAAGCCCTCTCTGAAATCGAAACCAAGTACTCCCCAACGCCTCCAGCACCCCTCAGAGACGCTTTCGAAGAAAATATAATCGTTTTATCCCAAGAATTCGATTCCATTGGCCTGGACACCATCGATACGACCAAACCTCTCTCGAAAGTCTTCAAGCAAATAGTGAGCAGGGCTCGAGAACTGGTGCAGATCCACCGAAGGACTTTATCGCAAATGCGAGACGCGAATATCTCCGTGCAGACCAAAAACGAGAACAGGAACTACTTGCGCAAAGTAATAGACAGCTGCAACTCGAAAATCAACTCGTATGAGGACAAAACGGGGATGTTACGTAACAAAATCTCCGTCCTCGAAGATAAAATATTAGAGCACCAGCGTAGGGAAATCGAATTGCGGAACGAAATGGAGCAAATCAAGAGATATTCGAGCTCGAAGAATAACGAATTGGCTAGGAATATCAGGAGATTGACCGAGGAGAACAGTCGTCTTAGGGAGTCTTTGGGGACGGAATTCAAAACTCACTCGAAAGACGAAGTTCTGCTTAAAGTTTTATCCAAGTATAAGAAAAACGAGGAGGTGTACAAGGATAGTATTCGAAAGTTGCAGGAGAACAACGAGCTTCTGCTGGAGGAAATTATGGAAGCTAAAAGCCAGAAGAAGTCTTAGAGAGAAGTTGAAAGGAGCCACTGGAAGTCCTAAAAGTAACATTTGACGGTTTATTTTGTTAAATAATAATTGTAACTCCATTTTTACTGAATATATTTATATTTTTATAGGCTTCTCTGTAATTTCTGAAGCATTGCGAATTCATAGAAGTGAATTACTGTACTTAGCAATGCATACAACTATATTGCCTACCTGAATGAAAAAGAATGATAATTAGAGTGTGGTATGCCATATACATATTAAAACTTGAATAAGGCAGGACGCTTAGTTAAAAAAATTTTTTAATTTCAAATTTTTTGATATTGCACCTTGGCTGGATGTCTGTTGGTAATTGACCCTTATCCAGAAAGAAGTAGAATTCATTTTACGACGGTCGTGTGTTCTAAGGTCTGGAAGCTTGAGTTTTTGTGTTAGTTTTAATGAATGTTTCCCGCTAAATGAAGATGTTTTTGACGATTAACTTGTAGTGGGGGTTAGTATTAGATTACCTATATCTTCAGAAACCTGAATTTTATGTGGTTTTAGGAGTTATGCACTATTGTTAAAAAGTTTCCAGACCTTATGATGTGAGACAGTGTCAATGTCATCTGTCAACTGAAATTTTGACGTTCGGTTTTTGATTTGAGTAATCAACAGCTGACACCCCCAAAATGTTTTTGTGAGCAGGAAAAGTCGTGTTTTCATTGAAAATTTATGCTGCTTTCGTTTATTTAGCGCAACCGCTTAAAATAGCCATCTAGCGAAATAATTAAAGGAAGAAATTAAACATTTATGTCGTACTTTGACAGTATTTACTTCGATTCAAAGAGAAGAGAAAAAGTTCAACGTTAACAAGATGATGCCTGTAAAGGATAATCAGGATGTTGCCTGTTTCTTTTGTACCAAACACACAACGTGGAAGGGAAAGTCAGTATTTCTTTTAATTTAGAGTAATTGACGTTACTAAATATTTTATTTTTCAGGTACAAAAGGATCTTCTCCATCGGTACACAAGGCATTACTACCTACAATCCTAATTTGGAAATAACAAACAGATGGGCATACAGCGATTTCATATCTATCACTCCTCTGAGAACTGGAAGTCAAAGCGAATTTCAAATAACAATGAAAAAGGATCGAAAAATTGATAAGATGACATTTTCATCCGAGCATAGAACTTACATATTAACCGAAGCGCTTAAATTCAGAAATTATTTTTCAGAGAAGCCAAAGGAAGTGCTGGTACTTTATTCAAATTAATTCACCAGATCGCATTAACATAGAATCATATTCATTGCAGAAATATCAAGCCTACAAGCATCACTGGTCAGACATAAGACTTCCCGTTATACTAGAAGTTACGTCTTATTCGTTGGATCAACTCGATCCTACCAGTGGCTCCGTTCTTGCCAGTTATTATTTTAAGGATTTCGAAGGGATATGTACAGTTTCCGACTATCCAGGTGAGACATTTAAATAGTACAAACATAACAAAGGCCATGAGAGATACAGATATAGAACTGTATTATCTTTTATTTTAATTTTAAAATAAACAATAGTGGTACTCAGATAATTCATTGTTTTGCAAATGGTTTGCTTGGTAATTTAATATAACAAGTCTGTGTATCAATTACAGTTGATATAGCATGTTAAACTTATTCATTATTTGCTTGATTAGGCATTTTTTACTAAATAAAGTTTATACAGGGTGTATCTAAATAACACCGAAAAAATTTAAGGGACGATTTTGAGAAGAAAATTAAGGTGGTACTTGGTATAAAATTTTTTGAAAAAAACATTTTTCTTGTTGACTTGTTAATCTTAAATGCTATTTAATATGAGCTTGCAATACATTTATTTTTTTCTCGTAAATGCTCAAGTTTTTGAAAAAACTTGTAGAGATAAAAAAGTTAGTAAATGAATTGGGCTCTTCAGCCATATTTTTTTTTTAAATTTCATCTAAAACAAAGTTGCAAGATATCATATCTATATCAACCCCTTCTAAGCATACTTCAGAGTTGACAAAAACTCAAAATGTGTAGTTTCATTGACAAATAAAATTCCTCAAGTTTCGTGTCTTTTGCTTAATATACAGAGAAAATAAAGAAGAAAAATCTCATCTTTTCTTTCAATCTTTGGAGGAGGAACTTTTCCGGGAAGGGTTTTTTCAAAAAATTTTATACCAAGTAGCCACCTTAATTTTCATCCCAGAATCACCCCTTAAATTTTTTCGTTGTTATGTAGATACACCCTGTATTTCTAATTATTTTTTTTATTTGGAAAATTCCCGAAAAACAATGGATTTTTACGTTAGTTATTCGAACACTTAAATCGAATTCTGTAAGTGTTTGTTACTACATCAAAAGCGAACTGTTTTATTGACATTTTTTACTACATGTGTTTTTTCTATTCACATTTATAGTTACGAATATGAATTTTTAGGAGGATTTGTGATAGTATGCGGAGGTTTCGGACGATTGCATCTGTTCCAATCCGCAGAATACGAAGACATAAAAGCAAAAATGCTGGATTCGGCCTTGTCCAACTTAGGCATCAACATCAAAGTTCTGAACACTCCCATAACGTTAGAAGACTTCCAGAACCAACGTTTCGGAAAATTCAGGTAACCAACTCGATACAAATCGAACTTGTACGAACGGCATTTAATCCAACATTTCCAGCGACGACGAGTACATTACCGCCGTTTCGGAATTTTCCGTGTACAAAATCCAGAAACCCAGACACGCCGATCCGGTCCGCAGGACCCTGTGCCTTTCCGAGCAATGCATAATGGAGAGGGATCCGCAGACGTACAGCATATGCACCCTGCAACCGTTGAACAACATTTTCGCTCTTATAAGAGACAATGCGAATCCACAGCTGTTTATTATCGAGTACTTGAACGGGCAGTCTAGAACTTACACTACAACAGACAGGTATAAACTTGAAAACGATTTAAATGGATTTTATTCGTTTAATTCTCGCAGAGATTCCCTGTTGGCTTCGCTATTAGACGGCGTCAGAGCTGCTGGAAATAAAGACGTCCACGTCACGATGGTACCGACAGATAGAGGATTGAGATTAGGCCCTTTGGGTATCCCAGTGGACGAAGAAGCCGAAAGTTTGCATATAAAATTACTGATGAATCCTCCTCCTTCGAAAACCTTCTTCCAGTGCTTGAGGAGATTTAACACTAACATTCCGTACAGCGGGCTTCTTTATAGCGTCACTCAAGAAGTAAGCGAGCGTATACGCGCTTTTATCGATTCTAATTCGTCTAATTTTAGGGAATTTTCTCGGAGAATAAAGATAAACTTATTACCGGAGTACTGCAATCTCTTGTGTCTAAAGATAGCGATCCTAAGGCGATTAGTTTGGAAGAGCTGGAAGCGCAGTTTCAAGCTCTACGAAGACTGGTGGCCAGTAAAGTGGGTTACGCAGCGTTCACGAAGCTGCCGGGGTAATTATTACGTTATTTTAACGTTCGATTAATTAATGAATTGTTTAGTTTCAGAGAAGCGGTAGGACAGAAGGTGATAGCCGCGTTGAAACGAAACGATTACGCCGTTACGCAAGCGGCAATCGATGTGATATGCGCGTTGATGCATCCGATGCACGACGATTACGATCTCAGACAGGAGCAGCTCAACAAGTCTTCGTTGTTGCAAACGAAGGGTTTCCTGGAGAGTTTGTTGAACATGTGGACGACGCACATCGTAAGTACAAAAGTTCAACTACCAAAGTTCAACAAAGGGCTATATTTCCTAAAATATTGATTATTTTCAGCAACTGTATGCGAAGAGTGGATGATTTAATCGATTTTTAATTTCAGGCACAAGGCACCGGTGCATTAATAGTATCAGCAATGTTAGATTTCCTCACGTTCGCTTTATGCGTACCGTACAGCGAGACAACGGATGGAAAACACTTTGATGTACTGCTAGAAATGGTTTCCGAGAGAGGTCGAATGTTATTTCGTTTATTTCAGGTATTTAACATGCCCTCTTACTTAGTAACTTTATTAATAATGATTTTATAGCATCCTTCGATGGCGATTGTAAAAGGCGCCGGTTTGGTAATGCGGGCGATCATCGAAGAAGGCGAATCCGAAGTGGCCGAGAAAATGCAGAACCTGGCACTAGCCGAAGGCGCCTTACCGCGACATCTTCTAAACTCCCTCTACACCCAAGGCACCGACGGAAGATTGTTAACCCACAGACAGTTGTCGAGGCATTTAATCGGTCTGTGGGTCACAGGAAACCCCATCGCTATGGGACTACTGAAGCGAATCATGGCACGTATTACATGCAATAGATTACTCTAAGGCTCTCTAATTGGTAATTTACAGCCTACGGGTTTGATAGTCTTCTTGGACTCCAAAGAAACGGTGCCGAAGGAAGCCGTCGAACGGGAGATGTTGAACAATCGCGACAATTTGCAAATTGCGCGAGACCAGGCGAAGTCGAAGCGCAACCCGAATTGGGCGGCGGTGGAGCGTCAATTGAAGGTGATGGAGAAGCGCGTCGAACACTACACGAACCTGGCGCTGCAACATTGGGGCGCCAACTTGGGCATCACCTTGAAGCGGGAGGAGAAGATCAAGGAGAGACCGATCGTGTTGAGGCGCAGGAGAGAGAGGAAAAAGGCCGAGTCGAATTGGTTGTTGTTCTATTGGAACTTCAATCGCGACCATGCTCTGCCTAATTTAATTTGGAATCATAAGGTTGGTTGGTTGATTGATTGATTGTAACGAATGGAGAGGAGTACGATGTGAGATATACGGTTTTTAACCAGATGTATGAGTAGAAATAAGTCATTAGAACTCGAAGCAGTTTTGAGTTGTTGAAAATATTCAATATTTTAGGAAATATAGCAGTTTTAAATTTAAAATTTTCACTCGTAGAAAGTCACTAACCAATCACATTAACAACAATTAGTTTTATAAAAAAATTAAAAAAAATCATACTCTCTATTGTATAGTAATTAAAATACGTCGTTTTAGACTAGAGAAGAATTGAGAAGTGCCTTAGAAGCCGAAGTGAGAAACTTCGCTTCCGACAGAGAACTAGCTGGACATGCTCTAGTCGCTTGGAACTATCAAGAATTCGAAGTGAATTACGCTTGCCTTGCAGACGAAGTCAAAATCGGTGATTATTACTTAAGACTGCTTTTAGATATTAACGATGACGATTCCCCGATTCGTAGAACGTACGTTAATCTTACAATAATAACCTTATTCGATTTTAAACTGTATTTTTTTCCAGGTACGAATTTTTCAACGATTTATACCATAGGTTTTTGTTAACGAACAAAGTGGACATGAAATGCTTGTGCTTGCAGGCCATGTCGATAGTTTACGGTCGATATTTCGAGGATATCGGTCCGTTCAGTGATACTAAATACATTATAGGAATGCTAGAAAGGGTACACAATTCATACATCTACAGGGTGTTTTTAATAACATGCTAATACTGAAGAGGGTGTTTATTGCATCCATTTTAAGAAAAAAAAAACTTCATATGAACCATAGACCTATTAAGTATGGACGCGGCACAATCGTTATTTTGAGGTTATTCAGCGTTCCCAATGATAGAGAGAGAGGTCCGTGAGAGATGGAGCTAGTTTGGGCTAAAAGTAGGCGGGACCAAAAAATATATAAAATATATACAGGGTGTGTGGAAAAAGGCGATTAATCTGTTAAATTATTTATACGCTTAATATTTAAATATTGTTTTTATCTTGGTATTCACTTGGACAGAAGAATGACCTGGAAGAAACATATTTTTTACAAGAGAAAACAGCTAGGTCTTAAATTGCGAAATCTGTACAGGCTAATAGGTAGGAGGTTCCAAATAACAATACAAAATAAGAACTGTATTTGCAAATGTGTGGGAATTTAGGCTCAGCTGAAAAATGCATTTTGCTCGGTAAAAAAATTATAAATCCTCAACCCTATTCTACCATAAGCTACCCTCCTCTACCCCAACTACCTTGCATTTCTGAAAACGTAACTCACGTGGTCTTTTTCTTTCTTACTATTGGCTAATGCATTGTCCAATCTCTCATTACCATATGTCCAAACTAGCTGCATCTCTCTCATTCATCGACAACACTACCTCTTTGTCTAAACCGCGTCCATAGTTAATAGGTCTATGATATGAACATATCCAAGTAGCAATTTTAGTAGTAAAGACTGGATTTAAGTCGCCGAAACTTATTGATGGTAAATTTAACCAAGTATTTCCCAAAATTGTAGCATTAAAAGGAAAAACTACAATACTGTCTTTTTTTGAAGTAACAGTTAGGTCTCATTAACTTTAAAAGTTACTTTATGGTTTCATAAATTTCATAAAAATATTTAAAGTGGTATGGAAATGTCAGTAAAAAATCGATTTTTTTCTTAAAACTTTAACACCCTATATCTCAAAAATTCAAAAAACGTTTAGTACACAGGTTCATATAAAGTTTTTTCTTTAAATGAGCTCAAGAATCACCCCCTTCAGTATTAGCACGTTATTAAAAGACACCCTAAATGTATAAAACGCATTTAATTAATTTGTTTTTTTAGTGTATCGATCGTCAAGAACGCGACAGGCTAGTGATGTTTATAGAAAAGTTGATACTGCACCACAGGAACGTGCGGGACGTGCTCGAAGTTGGCGGTGTGCAAATCTTGGTAGATCTGATGACGTTGGCTCATCTGCACACCTCGAGAGCCATGATACCGGCCCAAACTAATGTCATCGAAGCCGGTCCTGGAATGAAATTAATCGAAGAAAAAGAATGGTATTACAACAGCGATAAAGGAAGGGAAGGTCCCGTATCGTTTAGTGAGGTTAGTTTACGTTAGATGAATAAATCGTGCGAGGTTCTCGGGTTCTTGAGATACTTCGAATGAGCTAGGGTAGTGCATTTTTTGTAATTTACATTGTTTTCTAGATGAAAGATTTGTACGAGAAGCAACAAATCAACCACAAAACGAGATGTTGGGCCATGGGTATAACGGGTTGGCGACCTTTGTCCCAATTGCCCCAGCTAAAGTGGTACCTTTTGGCCAAAGGCAGTCCCGTGTTGAACGAGAGCGAGCTGGCTACGCATATTTTGAACATTCTCATAAAGTAAGCGCGTTCTATACAGGGTGTTGATTAATTGAGTGCCGATACTTGAGGATGTGAATGTTTGGGTGATTTTAAGAAGAAAAGTTTGTATCAATATATGTCCTAAACCTCTTAGTTTTCGAGCTACGGGGCTAAAATCTAACGGAGCTAAAATCATCCCAATATTCACGTCCTGAAGTATGACTCGATTAACTGACACCCTGTTGATATTTATAAGCAATATCACCAAGTAAAAATGGATTTATCTCGTAGAATGTGCCAGTATTTTCCGAGTAGAGACGCGGACGACGCGATAATCCGACCCTTGCCCAAAGTGAAGCGATTGTTATCCGATCAGGCCGTTCTTCCGAACGTCGTACAATTGCTCTTGACGTTCGATCCTATTTTAGTGGAGAAAGTGGCCAATCTGTTGTGCGAAGTCATGAAAGACAATCCGGATACGTCCAAACTGTACGCCACCGGGGTATTTTATTTCATAATGATGTACACGGGCAGTAACGTTCTTCCGATAGCAAAATTCTTGAAATTGACTCATATGAAGCAAGCGTTTAAATCTGAAGAGGTGAGATGTGATGCTTTGGAGAAATTGAAAGTTTTTATTATAAGTTGTTTTTAGGAGACGAATCCTATACTGCAAAAAAGTATTCTGGGAAGGCTACTGCCCGAAGCTATGGTGCATTATTTGGAAAATTACGATGCGGAGAAATTTGCGCAAATATATCTTGGAGAATTCGATACACCTGAAGCTATATGGAATTCTGAAATGAGGTTTGTTATTCCTCACATTTTTTTAGTAGTAAACTTGTAGCATTAAACTTTAGTAGTAAACTGTCTATACTTAAGGATGTGAATATTTGGATAATTTTAAGAAGAAAAAAGTCTATATCAATACATGTCCTAAGCCTCTTAGTTTTTGAACTACAGGGTTACAATTTTAGAAAAAAATATTACTTTTCTATTATAATTATCTTATTACTCTAGATATTTTTATGAAATTTTGTACACACTTTTGAATTATTAAGGACCTTTTTTTTGAGGCAAAAGATTTTTAAAAAATTTTACCAGTGACGTCCGTAAGGGGTTTGAACTGAATATGTTTGAAGAAAAAATGGTACGCCGCTGCTTTTTCTAAAAACCAAAATTATTTTTAAAATCCTCATTTATTTTGGAGCAAATTCGATTTGAAGACTTACTTTCGTACGACGCACAATTTTCGCGTAAAAAAATAAAAACCAAAACAATTTTTCCCAAATTCATCGTGCGTGGAAACACTTTTTTTTGGGACAAAATTGTAGCTCGAAAACTAAAAGGTTTAGAACATATATTGATACAAACTTTTCTTCTTAAAATCATCCAAATATTAACATCCTAAAGTATCGGCACTCAATTAATTAACACCCTGTATATTTAATTACATATTTGCTCACTTTTGGAAGAATCAAACAAATCTAGGTGTGTTTGAAGATATTCTTTGTCCCATGTAAACTCAATCAATAATATAAACTTTTGTTTACAGACGAATGTTGATAGAAAAAGTAGCAGCACACATAGCCGATTTCACGCCTAGATTAAGAAGCCACACCATGGTCAGATATCACTACATACCGATACCAGCTGTGAGGTATCCTCAACTCGAGCACGAACTCTTCTGCAACATATTCTACCTGCGACATCTGTGCGACGCCGCCAAATTTCCCGACTGGCCCATTTCCGATCCCGTAAGAACGAATTTTATAGAGAAAGTCCCAACAGGAGTTGATTTTAAATGCGTTTTCCACCGCAGATCCAATTGCTGAAGGACGTTTTGGAAGCCTGGCGCGGCGAAGTGGAGAAAAAACCTCCGCTGATGACCGTACAAGAAGCCTATAACAACCTAGGACTCAAGGACACCCAGCAGGATGAAGCGACCGTGAGGAAAGCCTACTACAAACTTGCCCAACAGTACCATCCCGATAAAAATCCCGAAGGAAGGGTAATAATATTTAACGTGCAAACAAGTAGTATTTGGATATATTTTAGATTTGTTTTAGGATGTATTCGAGAAGGTGAATCAAGCCTACGAGTTTCTGTGCAGCCGAACCAGCTGGACTGGCGACGGCCCGAATCCCAACAATATAGTACTCGTACTGCAAACACAGAGCATATTATTTCGCAGATATTCGGACGGTAGGTTATTATATACAGTTGATGCAAAACAAATATCAATGCACGTCACCTATGATTTACTACGTCACAAGTAGGCGGTGTTGCCGAACTTTTATAGAGTTTACAAAATTTAAGAATATTCTAAAATTGTCGAATGGCAAAATGACAGGAACAAATTGAAAATTAGGGGTACCTGTTTCACGTTTTCACATGCAATTTGATATTTGTTTTGCACCCACCAACAATATGTTATTAATTAACAGTCCTAAGGCACTATTACTTATATTGCATCGGTTACAGATTTACAACCGTACAAGTACGCCGGTTATCCGCAATTGATCAAAACCATCAAAATCGAGACCGGCGACGATCAGTTATTTTCGAAGAACGCTCCCCTTCTCACCGCCGCCTGCGAATTGGCCTATCATACAGTACACTGTTCAGCTCTCAACGCCGAGGAATTGAGAAGAGAGAACGGACTGGAGGTATTTTGTTGCGCTTATTATAGCAGAAAAATATGTACAGGGTGTTAATTGAGTACCGATATTTCAGGATGTGAATATTTGGATGATTTTAAGAAGAAAAGTTTATGTCTTATATGTGTCCTAAACGTCTTAATTTTCGAGCTACAGGGTGTTACAATTTTAGAAAAATAGATATTTTTATGAAATTTCGGACGTGGACGTCACTGATAATAGTAGAAAATTAATTAATTAATTAAAAGTTTTTCCATGCATTGTGGGCGCCTAACAAATTTCCATAAAATTTAATATCAAAAGCAGTCTCAAAATGAACTTGGGTATAAATTGTTTTGGTTTTTTTTTACGCGAAAATGGTGCGTCGTACGAAAGTAAGTGATTGGACCAAATTTACTAAAAAATAAATGAGGATTTTAAAAATAATTTTGGTTTTTTAGAAAAAGCAGTGGCGTGCCATTTTTTCTTCAAACATATTCTGTTCAAACCCCGTACGGACGTCAATGGTAAAAATTAAAAAAAAAAACTTTTGCCTCAAAAAATGCTCCTTAAATATTAAAAAGTGTGTACAAAATTTCATAAAAATATCCGGAATAATAAGAAAATTATAATAGAAAAGTAATATTTTTTTCTAAAATTGCAACAGCCTGTAGTTCAAAGACTAAGAGGTTTAGGACATATATTGATATAAACTTTTCTTCTTAAAATTATCCAAATATTTAATCCTCAAGTATCGGCATTCAATTAATTAACATCCTGTATATAAAATCTCGGATTTAAGGTGATGCTGGACGCTTACACGAGATGCGTGAACGTCCTCAACAACTCCTCGAAACCCGACGAAACTCCCGTGCAGGTTTGCACGCACATAACGCGGTGTTTCACCGTCGCCGCCTCGTTCCCCGCTTGCAGGGAACGCATGGTGGACCTCAAGCAATTAGTCAAAGACTTGTGCAGGATACTTAATTTCAAAGTAAGCGATACAATCATTGTCCCGAATTCAGCGCCCCATTTTAAACTTAAACATGGCTCCAAAGGGTCACTTTAACGTAAACAAAGTCCCTAGTTACTTCATAACAACAATGTAAATCTGTCATTTGAAAGATTCTCCTTAGTTACTCCATAACAACAATGTAAAACTGTCAAGTTATAAACGCGACTTTAAAGTCGTGTTTAAGGTTAAAGTGAGGCGCTGAATACGCGGGCCATTAACTCAAACCCGTTTAATTCTCCCATTTACATTACAGCATTTAACGAAACTCTGTTCCGTGGCCACGGAATGCGTAACGGCCTTGTCGTTGGACTCGATACTGCAAATGGAACTGCTCAAATCCGGCGCCCTGTGGCACTTGTTGCTCTACATGTTCAATTACGATTTCACGTTGGAGGAGGGCGGCGTGGAGAAGAGCGAGGACGCGAACAAACAGGAAGTCAGCAACATGCTGGCGAAGAAGGCCGTCAGAGCGTGCGCGGCTTTGGGAGGTTATATACAGGGCGAGAACAATCCGCCGCCCAATCCGCTCACCCGGGACATTCTCGGCGTGTTGTTGACCGCTTTTCTGAGCGAACAACTCGGCGATGATAAACCCGAAGAGGTAATATTTTTAAAGCGAATCTAGATACAACTCGTGCAAAGGGTTAGGCGAAGAGGTCTCGGTCCGGCATTGAAGGACCGCGATTTTTGGATGAAAAATTGCATTATTCTTGTTGTTAAGTCGAAATCTTTGGTTATAGACTGTTCTAAATGTTTCTGGAGCGTTCTAAATGGTTCTGAAGCGTCTAAATAAGCATTCTAATAAAATTGATTCTAGATAGTTCCAAATGATTCTGAAGCGTTCTAAATGGTTCCAGGGCGTTCTAAATGATTTTAAACAGTAAATATTTTTCTCTAGGTATTGAAGATATTGAACAGCAACAGCGAAACGCCGTATTTGCTGTGGGACAACGGCACCAGGGCCGAACTGATGGACTTTTTGGAAACGCAAAGCAACGGTCGAAGCGAAATCGACTTTAACATCGCCGACGAATTCAAATATTCCGCCCACGTGGGAGAACACAAAATCGCCGGCGTTTTTATTAAAATCTACAACCAACAACCGACGTATCCGATCAAGGTAAACGCGAATTAAGTCGTTAAAAAACCATCTAATCGCATCGATTTCCAGGACCCGAAGGGCTTCGTGATAGAACTGATCGGTTACTTGAAGGACCAATCTCGCGACCTGCTCAACTTGGTCAACATAGCCTTTTCTCTAACCATAGAAGACCGATTGGAGAAATCCGTGATGACGCTCGAAGCCCTAACGAACGTCATAAGGAACAATACCGGCGTAGAGATGCAATGCATCGGCCACTTTAGGCTGCTGTTCAGTCTACTCAACGTCAATTACATTCCCGTGCAGAAGGGGGCGCTCAACGTCATATCGTCGGTGACCAGAAACAATGAATGCATCACCGACATAGCCGCCAGCGAAGTGTTAGGGTATCTGTTACTCGTGCTGTACACGTTGCAAGATTCCCAACCGCAAACTTTGCAAACCCTCTACGCTTTAATGGCCACTACGAAGATCGTGAAAGAAGCGCTGAACAAAGGAGCAGTAAGTGTATAAAGTAGTGCTTACTCTCTATAAAGAGTGTATAGAAGGGAGGTGATTCCTAAGCTTATTTCATGAGTAAAAGTTCATATAAGAATAGGTCCGCAAAAACGCTTTGTTACCGATTATCTACAGGTTGTTGAAATTTCGAGATTTTTTTTGTTTTTTCTTTGAAGCTCCTGAACTTTTGAGATATTTGGCTCAAATTTTGAATGCAGATTGCTTTATAGGGCGTACAATATTGGGTATATCAAATGGTCGTTAAAATCTATAGGGTGATATTTTTTCAGGAGTGATATTCCCTTTTCTTCCCCCCTAACTTTTTAGTCGTGCGCCGCTGGTAAATTCTAAAATTCTAAAATACAAAATGAATTGTCTGCTTTGTTTAAAAACTTATTTGTTTTTAAACTTTTTTCGTTTCTTCGACCGTTATCGAGAAAAAATTTAAAAACTATTTCATGTACAAATGATTTATTTAACAATACATAAACCCTAAATAATAATTATTAAACTTCATTCTAACGAATGTTGAAAGTGACTACCTCCTAATCAAATTATACCCTATATCCTATACCAAATTTGAGCTAAATATCTCAAAAGCTGCAAGAGCTCTCAAAAACAAAAAAATCTTGAAATTTCAACACCCTGTAAATCGCTAACGAAGCCTTTTTGCGGACCTATGTTTATATGAACTTTTAGTCGTGAAATAAGCCAAGGAAACACCCCCTTTCGGATGTGCACGATGTTTAGGAACACCCTGTATGTAATACTGGCTTTTACAGGTCATTTATTTGCTCGATCTCTTTTGCAATTCGACGAATCCGGGGGTGAGACAGACGTGCGCTGAATTATTAGCGAGGATGAATTTGGATAAATTAGTGGGCCCCAAAGTGAGGCTCTCCTTAGCGGCCTTTCTGCCGCCCATATTCGCCGACGCGATGCGCGACAATCCCGAAGCTGCTATAAATATGTTCGAAAGCGCCCACGAGCATCCGGAGCTCATATGGGACCAAGATGCTAAAGATAACGTGTGCAAAATCGTCGCTAGATTTAGGAGGGAGTAAGTTTATAAATAATAGAGAGGAGTACGATTTTTTTTATAAAACTGCGAATTTTTATGAAGTCATTGGTGAAATATTTAGTTTTCTCCGTTTCCTATTAGGGCCGCAATTAATCTTTAAAGTTTGAAATACATTACAAGTCATTAACCAATCACATTAAGAATTGGTGGTAAAGATCGTTTTTAGCGACGTTGTCAACCATCTTCTTGATGTAGTTATGATTATTCGAAAAATATAGAATCTTACTCTAAAAAATTGCATCTGTTTGTATGTATTTATTTTTTTGTATTTCTTGATACAGTTATGATTTATTCGAAAAATACAGAGCGAACTTATAATTGTTCAATAATATAATATGCCTATATTTACGAATTACTGTAAATATCTTAAATTCTAAATTATTGGGTGGTAAAAATGCGGTATTAATGTGGCATAATCGAATGTATACTTTTGACTTTTTAAACTTGTCACTTGTCAAATTATAATAAAAACAAAAACTTAGCTTCCAACTAAATCAACTTATACAAATTTAAAATGTCGCATCCGAGGGTGTTAAAACCTGTTTCATGTCGTTTTGTGAAACTTCTTCATTGTATCCTAAAAACTGTTTATTTTTTTACCCAAAGAAACTACAATAACAACACTAGATATATCGTCTGTCATTTGATGTTACATTTCACTTTTGTTCGTTTCTTCTATTCTTCCGAACATTTCGTTCGAATTCTTATGCCACTAAATACAATGTAACTCGTTGGTTTTGTGATTGGTTAGTGACTTTACACGTCACGTGTCAAAATTTTAAATTTAAAAGGGGTATATTTCCTGAAATATTGAATATTTTCAGCAACTGAAAACTGTTTTAAATTCTAATGACTTATTTCTATTCGTATATCTGGTTAAAAATCGTATATCTCACTTCGTACTCCTCTGCATTAATAGGTTTATTATTAAATGTGCGTTTTGTAGGCATCAAACGGAACAGAGTTCGAATCCTTCGGCGCTTTGGAAACTACCGGAAACCAACGGTTTGACTAACTTATCAGCGCCCAACGAGATTATGATAGCGGGAGTGTACCTGAGAATTTTCATAGCGAATCCTTCGTGGAATTTGCGCAAACCGAAGGAATTCTTGACCGAGTTAATGGAGACTTGCCTTAACTTGATGAGCAAGGACAAACCCGATGTGAGTGATTAAATTAATTTAATATAAATAAAATTAATACTGTTCGTGCAAAACAAATATCAATGCACGTCAACTATGATTTACTACGTCACAAGTAGACACTGTAATTTCTAACATGTGGAAAAGATAACTACGCAAAAATTCTTATTTCTTGATTATTCGGCCGAATAGCCTTTAGTATTTGAGGCTAGTAAACTAGAAAATAGAAGAAATTGAAAATTAAAAATACCAATCGGATGACAACGGCAACTATGCAATTTGACAGTCAGTGCCTACCAACCTACTATAAGAAAATAATAATAATTTTACGTTGAATTTTGACAATATATATTTTTAGAATGATTTAATTCTGCTTTTTAACATTTTCTATCATCCCTTGTTAATATTAAATTAAATTCTGCAGATATTAAGCTTAATCTATTTTGTGTATTTATTTTTAAAAGTTGGACACAATGCTTTACAAGTATGACGACAGAGTTAACGTGCATTGATATTAGTTTTGCACCGACTGTATATTTACGAATAACCCAATTTCAGATCGAATTATTAGAACTATGCACTACAGCTCTGTGCTCTCTATTGCAAGCGCAACCCGCTCTATTGGATTTGATACCTTCGATGGGCCAAATACCGAGGTTATGCAGGCAAATGGGCTCCAATGTAAAGCAAGCGGTCGTGCCGAAATCGGCCATTTGTATACTCAATTCATTATCTTTGAGTACAGTACGTATTTACGAATTTTTTTTACATAAAATTCGTTAATTTTATAAAATTGTTGTAGATATGCGTGAATGCAATAGCCCAATCGGACTGCATGCGCCCATTGAAACAGGCCATGCAAGCGCGCAAAGATATGGTGGCGGTGGCCTGCGAGGCCCTCAGCAGGTTGTTCTCCAGCAACCAAGATCAATTGATCAAGCAGGCCCTCGACGTGGAATTCGTACAGTTCCTGCTGACTCTACTCGATACCAGATTAGAGCTCGTCGATAATCCTTCCATGACCAAAGCCCAGATCGTCAAAGCTTTGAAATCGATGGCCAGGAGTTTGATGTACGGGGAAAAAGTGAATTCGATTTTAGAGCAGAGCCGCATTTGGTCCGAGTATAAGGATCAGAAGCATGATTTGTTTATTTCGAATACGAACATCTCTGGTTATTTAACCGGTACGTTATATGGATATCTCCCGTATTCAACAATGTCGGCTTATCAACCTGATATAATTTAACAGTCGGTTAACAATAATTGTTATTCACCACGATGTTTATTCACCAAAACTGTTAGTAAACGGACAGTTTTCTTAAAAATAAAATAACCAAGATTAAGTTAGAAGTCCTAACTTCATGCGGAACTCATAATCTCAAATTAGTATAAATGTCATAGTTGTATATTTGAAGAAGTAAATAATAATAATCGTATTCCAACGGTTATCCCATCTAACCGAATCTTTCTTCAATTTGAACCTATTTTTAAATTCTATTTCGCAATATTTCTATCTATTTAATATCAATTTCTATATCACTATCTTCGGAAGATGAATTGAACAATTCGTGAAACTCTATTCAATTTAACTTATCCATTATATTTTATGTATAAAATTTAAATGTCACTGTTAAATAGTCGTAAATGCTTTAACAATTTCGACATTTGTATTAAAGTTATCAGTCTGTTACTTCTTTTTGTCAGTTCGATTTCGCTCTGTTACTTTTAACCGACTGTTAAATATTAACTAACATTGATGAATGCCAAAATAAGACGTTAACACATTGATAAGAACTCTCTGTTAGCGTTCTCTGTTAGACATTGGTGAATATGGCCGTAGGTATTTTCCGAATTTTAAGAATATTTTTTGTTTTTAAATCGTAGGTACACCTGCGACTGCTGGTTATTTAACCCAAGGGCCTAGTGCTAAAGTGAATTCAGCCCCTCCGCCTGTAGATCGAGACGATCCAACGATCAGAAACGACTGTCTCTGACTTCTTATAGGACAAACCTGCGATTACGGTTGAGGAATTAATCGCAATTAGCGAGTAGTGATGCGGAACAAACACATTGCCGAGCAATGGACGGGATAACTAAAGTATTTACGTAGGGAATCCAAAAAATAACGGCAACACAACTGTACAAATTGTGTATAAAAAATGTATATTAAATTAAATTACATAGTTATAAAAAAAGAATTTTACGTGCTAAAAATATTTATACAGTTCTTTTTAAAATTATATATTTTCTATTATTACCAAGTAGGTTTATCGGACGGGATTCGCCCGTTTGTAATTCTTCAGTTCCGAGAATTCGTTTGTAATAAAAATATAATAATATAGATTGTGATGTTTATTCAATACCAATTATTCCTTTTCCAAGTTTAAGTATTCAGAAAATGTCGAAAGGAGCCCATCCAAGGCGATCCTGAGCTGCGTAAAAGTGGGTCGTTCTTGCGGCGGGACTTTCCAGCAACTGCACATGATGGCGTATCTAAAAAAATAAAAATGTTTTTTATGTTTCGTACAAAACTAACTTAAAATAATTGCCTATTTTGTGTTCTACGTTAGTAACTTATAGTAAAGGCCACAACCGTATATTTCTGAGGTCTGGAAACAACCCTCAGAAATGAGAAAAATATGATAGAAAAGTTATTTTTTATCATCGTTTAGGACATACATACACTGTTGGAAACATAATTGCGAAATTAGTGTTCATTTCTTAGCCGTCTGAAATGCAGTCTACCACTGTACGTTTCAATAGAACGTCGCAATAAATTCTACGAAAAAGAACGCAATAGTCCATCCAAAAGATTTTCGAGAAACATTAAAATATAAGTTTACTTACTCGTTAGGAAGAGAAATTAAAGGCATATTTTAGCTGTTGTTTTGCAGACTTTAGCAATTTTTACCATTTAACGATTTCATTATCTGATACTAACTACAAAATGCTGTAAAAATAAACTGTGAACTTAGTTTTGCAAAAAATGGACTATTGTCGTTTTTCCCCTGTAGCCTTCATATGTATATCGATATAAACTTTTATTCTTAAAATCATCCAAAATATTCACATCCTGAAGTATCGGCACTCAATTAATTAACACCCTGTATATGACAAAAATTGAATACTTACATCTCTTCACCGCAATGTTCAGGCCTCTTCATCCGGTAGCCCCCCTTCAACATTCCTATAATATCGTGGGTGGGCACGCCGGGGTACGGGGTTCCCCCCAACGTCACGATCTCCCACAGCAGTATGCCGAAGGACCAGACGTCGCTCTGCGTCGTATAAACCTGATGCGTCATGGACTCGAGCGCCATCCAGCGAACGGGCAATTTGCCCGCCGAAGACTTGTGGTAGATGTTGTCGTAGTAAACGTCCCGGCTTAATCCGAAATCCGATATTTTTATGATGTCGTTTTCGGTGATCAAGATGTTCCTGGCCGCCAAATCGCGGTGGATGAGCTTGAGGGACGTCAGGTACTCCTTTAAATGGTGTTAATTTGAATTGCGGGTTCGATGGGAAAGGGTTTTGTGGTACTTACCATGCCGAGGGCTACTTGTCGGGCGAAGGATAGTAGTTGTTTCGGTTGCGGAATGTCCTCGAAATCAGTTTCGGTCATTTCGTAGGTTCTGTTGAAAGCGTAGTGGCTCTTTCCATTGTCGATTTCCTGGCTTAGAAGATTCCTAAAATAAAAAAAGCGATTTATAAGAGAAAAATATTTGTAAAATATTGATATAATTTAGTGTACTTACGCTTTTATCAGTTTATCAGAAGCTGCACGCAAGTACGTCTGAAGGTCCCCTTTCGAACAATATTCCACTACTAGTAAAAGATTATTTCTAGTTACGCATCCGATTAGCGACACAAGATGAGGATGCAATGGAACTGATTTCATCAATTCTATTTCTTGATGGAATTGCTTAATTTCATCTACCGTCGGATTTTCTGAAACAATCCAATTTTTACTATACTAATTCGTTACAGTTTCATTACGAAACTAAGTACAATTTGAATGAATGATTCAATTAATAAAGAAGTAGTAAAAAACAGTTTATACCTCTAAGCATTTTAATTGCTACTTCGAATTCTTCTCCTTTAATATCGGTATACCAACCCTTGCGCACCACTCCGAAGGCTCCTCCGCCTAAGATTTCCTTAATTGCCAATTTATTCAAGTCGATTTCCCATCCATCGGCTTTGCTGTTATCGCCGAAACTGATCGTACTTATGGTCGTTATTGTACTAGTTCGAGCGGCTTTTTCCCTTACTTCCTGAAACACAAACAAAATGTATCCAAATTCATCGTTATAATCCTGCAAAAGCCTACGTTAAAGAACGCGTTCCTCTCCCTGCGGCGCGTCCTTCTCGCCAGGATGCGGTTCCACAGGACCAGCAGCAAAACACCGGTGATCACTAAAGGGGTTATGATGGCTATGATGTTTTCCAGGGACGCGAAAGTGTCTCCGGTTTTTAGTACCGTGTAGTTGGCGAATATTTGTCTATGCAGCATTGCAGAAGTGCTCGGCCCTTTGCGAGAATGCGCCACCAAAAAAGCTCCGTATTCCGGTGTTAGTTGCACGTTGGTGAAAGTGACATTGGTGCTATCCTAAAAAATGAAATTTAAATTTAACAAAATAGTGTTTCGGGCCATCTACAACACCCTGTATAATATACCTCATTTACTTCTTTTATCAGATTTGTTTATTTCGCTTTGTAATGTAATATAACACAAGTAAAACCGCGAACAATGATATAGAGATTACACAAAAAGTCAATTAAGCGTTTAATAATATCCAAAAAACCATCTGGAATCTCCACAAGATACCGAAAATTTGTAGTATTTGTTACGTATCATTTTAATCATATAGCGCTTAAAAATATATAGGAAGCTCAATTTTACTTACCCCCGATATATTAAGCGCGTATTGCGTCTTATTAGTATTAATTAATTTTAAATAAGCGTAATAATACGAAGGACTGTATTTGGGCTTCTGCCATTGCATCACAACATCAAATCGATTCTCATACTTGTCCTTGAAGGGATATTCCTTAATAGTTAAATTTCGCGGTTGATCCGGTGCTGCAATTTAAACTCTATAATAAAATACATCAGTTGTAATTATTTTTACTCACTGCATTCGTCGATTTGCTGGAATGTTTCCAAGCAGGCTGGAGTGGTGATGTTGAGCCAGGTTTTCGGACCTTCCTCCGTTTCGCCGTTTGAGTAAGAATACGGCATTATGGCGATCGGATAGAAACTGTCCAGGTCTAAATTCTTTATACTGTAACTATCATCGACTAAAGGCTAAAAATACAGTATTATTTTCTGTTATATTAGTATAAATCTTCGTACTCACATGGTCTATATCGATTTCTTGATAATCTCCGTTGCTCGGGAAATACACCAAATTGTAATAGCAAGCTTTATCTGTAATTGGAAAATGTTCAATGCAGATGTTTTCTTTTATTACAATATAAAAAACATACCTTTTCCTTTTGTCCATTTGACTGTCGCTGTGTATTGATTATTGCTCTGCAAAGTGAAATTCCGCAAGTAGAAATACTCGACTGGATAAACTTTGGAATCGACTTTTCTAGTTTCGAAAACCTTCCAAATGCTGCTTTGGTGTATATGTTTCTTTTGGCCCGGATAAACGGTCATGCTGTGCAATTTCATCAAGTATTTTGTTCCGGGAGTTAAATTACCCAATTCCATAAAATTGCATTGCGTCTGAAAATGAGTAAAAATATATAAAAATAACCGGGAATTGTATTAAATAACTTACAAATTTTGTTCGGTAAGTGTAGCCGTATTCATCGTACAAATGATAACTCAAATAGAAATAGGTGAATCCCTCCGTCTTGGGAATATTCCATTCTAAAACCACGAAATTTGATTCAATACAGCGGATTTTAGGTGGAGATAGTGTGTGTGAATTAATCGGAGGATCCGGGTCGGTCTTTGGGAATTTATTGGATTTATAGAGCAGTTGAGTATCGTTTGATTTTTGCACATACTTGTGCTCGGTTGTGTTGAAGTCCAACTCTGCTCCTTTTTGTACTGAAACAAAGTAGAAATGTTTAGTTTTGAATAGAAGTATAATTGGCCTAAAATTTACCTTCCAGTTGAATTTTCGGGTAATTTCCACAATCGCATTCCATCAGGATACAAGAGGATATTGATATATCGTAATACTGAAACAAACATAATACCACATTTAATCGTCAACATAATTAGAATCTATTATCTTATTATTTGCATCTAAGTAAATCAGTTACCTGACGCAGGTTTCTAAGAATTGAAAATAATGTTTAGTAGTTTTGCTACAATCCTTTACCTACAGGAAATTGTAAATTAGATCATAAATGGCAAGAGAAGAATGGCCGGATCTCGAAATTTATACAAATAATAAGAATTTAAGCTGTTTTGGTATAACAACAAAATGGAAAAATCCTCATTTATAATGTTTATGAAATCTTTCTTCTCAGTTTAGTTTATTTCCGGTTTCAGTTTGTCTTTTGTAACCCAAAGAAGAAATGAATATGTTATGAACAAATAACTTCGTCTTCCCATTGTATCTATATTATCTACCTTAACGAATATTTTACAACTACATAGGCACTTAAAATTACTGTTATTCTTAAAATAAGCGAGAAGGGTTGTTAATTTTAGAGATTTTTCATTTTTCATCATTAAACTATCAGAAATAATGCTGAAATAGGTATGAAAACGTATACAAATTTATATAAACAACAAATATCTACAAGTCTATATTGCTCTAATTATTTATTAGAAAAATAAGATCTGGGATAAAAAACATTTGATTTTGTAATTTCGAAAACGATTTAACAGTATGACAGACGCGATGTCGTTGAAATTAATGGTAATTTAAATCGAGGTGATATTGAGAAATTTGAAATTATAATGAACACTAGTCGCTTTAAAAATTTCGTTTTGTACCTTGTTTTGTCTGACATTTAAACTGAATCCGAGATGATTTTAAATCGTTAATCACACGATTGAACAAACGGTAACAATTTTTTTCTTAAAAAGTATACTCGGAGATATAAATGAATAATTTCTTACCTTCTGCTTACAACCATAACAAACGGTTCTTTCACTTGGATTTTCCTCGCAAAGGAACCTGGCGAACAAACACAGAAAAATGATCACTTCGAACACTCTCATTTTCACTTGATATTTAAATATCGGAACTTTGCCGCACTTTTTCTTCACGTTGAGTGCACTGTGTTGCAAGTAAACATTTATTTTCCACAGCCAGGTAATCAACCACACTGAAAACGTTAGAACAGGAGGGGGAGATAATGATATTATAATGGCATTCTGAGCTTGCCCATGGATTAAGGATTAGACAAATCGAATGGCAATAATTCATTGTTTAGTTTTTCCCAAGAAATCACTAATATCCTCTTTAAAGATACAACAAAGAGTTTTAATTTTTAATATTTTGATTTGAAATTTTGCATTATTCCAGATTTATTTTATTGGCATGATGAGTGGCGTAACAGTAAACAAAATTTATTAGATTAATATTTAACGCAATATTATCATAAATTGTATAAATAAAGGGTGGGTCGTATACGTTTTGAATTTGAAATACCGGTTATTTTGAGTTTGCAAGTTATTCCAAATAATGGAAAATGTACTGGAATGTACTAAAATTCGAATGGAGTACTGGCAAGCCAGCCGCTGCAATCATTTCAAGTATTATGTATGTTGTGTATTATCAATTATTATTATCCCTAAATAAAAATATCCAATTTTTCTAATAAACATATAATTTTGAAAAAGCATTCCTTAGTTTTGTAAAAAATACGACTCAATTATACAAAATTGAAGTTTCTGTGCATGTAACGCAATAATTTCAATTCATTTTTTTTGTTACCTAACGTGTTACTTTAGTAGAAATCTTGTGTTTAGGAATGATACCAAGTAGTTTTGATTTAGTAAACGCGAGCTAACGATAATTTTTGAAAATTTTAAAAAGATTATTATTATCAATATAATGAGAATTTAAAGACTGTTTGGTAATGTCTGTTTAAAAAAATATTTTTAAAATAGCCTCTAACTTGGATTTGAATTACTAATCGTTAGGCAACCAGAAATACAATACCTTTTATGATTAGGTTTTAATATTTTTGTTATCAAAAGCTGCACATCTGCATCAAAAAGTTCGAGTTCATTTTTTAAATATTAAATTAATTACTAAATAAATTATAACTAACATTTATCTAATGGAAAAAATATTCATCCACTCAACTATAAGCTGGAGTGTTAACATTTTTAGGATTTGCAGCTTTAATTAAAGCAGGAAATTACGATTTGGGTCGTGTTCTTTTAATTAACATTGTTTTTACTCCTATTTATCTGATGCGTCTATTATTATCGAATTAGTCACGTGTACCATCATCGTAGTCAACTGGATACCACTAAAATATCTTTCATTATAACAAAAATCGTCATTTTAAATGTATAAATATTTATTAACTTTTTCCAATTACCTTGTGAAGGACATCGATGCTTACTTATTGAGGAAGTCTTACAGTAACATACTAATTAAGTATTACATATTACATGACACAGATTTTACAAGTATGAAAGTTGAAATTGTTATAGTAAAGTGCAATGTTTTATACAAATTAGATAAGAAAAAGTTAACTTTGAATTACTATTTTTGATTGCACCAGGACGAAGAATAAAACATGTTACAAAATTGTTAAGTACAGAAATTATTTATGTGTGCATCTTTAGTACTAATTGACGAAATCCCCACTAATATAGGTCATTTTGTAGAGTTAATTTAATTGTCAACTTTCTAATATTAAAAAAAATCTAAAACAAGTAGATTTCGAACCTTCCATAGACCTTATTAAAGTTCCAATACTTTCTATGGATTTTCCTGCAAACCGAATTCAATACGCAGACGAAACTATTTTAATCTCATTAAATGAAACCTGAGTTGCATTTCAGGCCCGGTAAGGATTCATTATCAAGTTGTTTTTCAGTTCTACGTGAAGTGTTGTAGGTTCCGATTCCTAAATTTTAGTTAATTTTATGTACATGTTTTGTATTTGTAGAAATGGTACGTTTTCTTTAATTTTAATTAATTATTGTTCTAGTAGTTGAAATAAAAATTTGAACCTACATAAAAACGTAGGAACGTTTGTTATTTATAAAAAATTCTTTTACAAGACTCTCATTATTGCAACACTTCTAATCTAATTATCTTTGTCGATATTCCTAGAATCTCGTGCAAATCATGAACTTAGGATACGCCATAGTCATAGGAAGCATACTAATCATGATATGGATTTCGCTGGCCGAAAGCAGGGAACCAGATTCGGTTAATTACCCGCCTTGCTATTTCAATCATCTCTGCAGTTGTTCCAAATCCGTATCGGACTTGGGAATCGTAAGGTGTCGGGACGTCCATCTGCCTAGAATACCGGACTCTGTGAATACTTCCAAGGTTTTCGTTCTTCATTTGGAGAACAACGAAATGAGAATGTTGGAACCGTATTTTTTGCAGAGCACAGGTAAGTGGAGATTTTAAAATAGTCTGCAGTGTGAGTCAATGAATGGATTGGTTTTCCACTCTTGTGAAGCATTTTATGGTTTATTAAGGATTGTAGAAAATAGAAGAAAGAGATAGAAGAAATAGAAGATAGAAGAAAGAGACGAGAAAATGACAGATTAAAGAATCTTTAGTATATACTCAAAGGATTTCTCAACGAAACAATCTTTTCTAGGTCTTTACAAAATTATAATAAGCGAAAATCCTTTATCGGTAATAAGTGACGAGGCGTTCATCGGTTTAGAAAGATCCTTGTGGGAGTTGGAATTAAGTTACTGCGATCTCACGATAGTTCCCAATAGAGCTATTAGATATTTGCAAAAATTGAGATTGCTGGATTTAACTGGTGAGTATTTGTTTCGAAAAATATTTATTGAATCTACCAAAATATTCAGTGAAAACAATAACCAATAACCAAATTTTAGGTAATGACATAATTAGAATATCGCCTGAAGATTGGAGAGGAATCGAACGCTCCTTAGAAGTCCTAATTCTAGCAAACAACCAAATAAGCCACTTACCCGTCGATGCCTGCTCGGGTTTACCCAATTTGGAAACCATAGATCTGAGCGGTAATAACCTGAGGGAAATAGACCCGTCCGTCTTCAGGGACGGAATGGGCAAATTAGCGCATTTAATTTTCGCCGATAACCAGCTGAGCACCATTCCCTATCAAGCACTGCAGCCGCTGAGGGTGTTGAAAACACTCGATTTGAGCTATAACAGGATCAACAAAATGGAACCGGGCGCTAACATAAATGTCAATTACCAGCTGAATTTGGATACGTTTAAATTGGAGTTCAATCGATTAACTGTCCTTGAACCCGTGGCTTTTCAGTACTTTAACGTTTTGAACAAAACTTACTTAGACGGCAATCCAATAACAACCATGGAGGTAATTACTCTAACTCTTCTAAAAAAATTATGTAAATTTATTTTTCCAGGAAAATGCATTCAGACAGGCGCGTATAAGAGAATTGTACATAAGAAGTTGCGGTTTATCCGAAGTGAATCCTGCTGCTTTCGACGGTTTGGAAAGTTCCCTGGAAATTCTAGATCTTTCCGGCAACAACATATCTCTTCTACCAGAAACTGTATTTCACAGATTCCAAGTTCTACGAACTTTATCTTTGAACGATAACGCTATGCAAAAGATAAAAGCCATGGAGGATTTTACAGGATTTCAGTTCACCCTGTATAAGATGGACCTGAGTGGAAATGGGGATTTGGTGGTTTCCCTGCAAGAGTTAAGAAGGTACGAGAATTGAACATGAATTGTGATGGGTGCTTATATTGCGGAATTTCAGGTTAAGAAATTTAAGAACGTTAACTATATCAAAACTTCAAAAACAAACATTATCACCGGAAAATTTCGAAGAATATGGAGTAGATTTAGAAGAATTAAACATCAATTACGGTAACTTGCAAACAATCAAAAACAACGCATTCAAGCACGTCCACGGCTTGAAAATTCTCGATTTGTCCGAGAATTCCATCAGTACCATCGAAAACAACGCCTTCGCGGACGTAAATACACGCTCAACTCGACAAATATCTCTTTTATTTTTTAATTTTCACACTTTCAGATCGATCACTCTTTGACGCACTTGATATTATCTCACGCTCTATCGTCATCCGTCGCCAATTTTCCATCGGAAGCCATAAAAGTTCTAACGAATCTCGAAGTACTGGATCTGAGTAACAATAAAATCAAAACCATGCCAGAGACCGCGTTTCATTTCTTGTACGAATTGAAGAGGCTCCTATTACAGGACAACATGATCGATGTTATCCACAAGGGAACCTTTCAAGTATGATATTTGCTGCATTGGTGTGGGATTTGTAGCTTAAAGAATTTGTATATGACTATAGAGGATCCAGATGAGAAATTATATTATTTTTTTAGGGTGACATTCATAAAAACCTAAAGGAAATCCACCTATCATTCAACAACATCAAACTCATCGGCCTCCATACGTTCGTTTATCTCCCGAAATTGGAGCAGCTCCACCTGGACGACAACAGGATAGAATCGCTGGATAGGCGCGCCTTCATGAACCTGGTGAACATCAAGAGGCTCAACTTGAAAGGCAACAAAATCACCAGCATGTCCTACGAGACCTTCCAGAACCTACCGGAGCTGGAGGACTTGGACATATCGTACAATCGACTGAATTCGTTCGATTTCACAGCGTTCGATCAAGTGGGGACCCTTTCGATATTCAGAGTCAATGCCAGTCACAATCAAATTAGGGATCTTTTCGTTAATCTACCACCGAATTTCGAAAGTGGAGCAGGTATTGTTCACTTGAATTTTCTTGTATAATATTGGTTTGGTACAGTTTGCGAGTTTATTACCTGTCCAAACGCACAACAGCAGGGGAATCTAAATCTAAACCAATTCGTTTCGAAAAACATATTGATTTCGATTCCCCTTATGAGCAATGAACAAGGAATGTTCTATTGACGACCTGAAGTAGTATGTTCGTTTTGCGCAGGATTGGGAAGCGTCCATTCCAACATAAAAATATTAGATTTGTCTTTCAATAACATCTCGTCGATATCCAAGCAATTTTTCAAACCGGTCGAGTTATCGATGACGCATCTTTATCTGTCGCATAACAATATTTTGAACGCCAGCAGGGACGTTTTCGGGAGCTTGAGGAATCTCCAGTGGCTCGATATATCGCACAATGGGATGTACGAGATGGATTTCGATGTTTTCAGGAACACAAAAAAATTGCAGGTAACCGGTCAATTTTTTTGAATTTAGGAAGCATCGTTGGAAAGAAGTTAGTAGTAACACACAAAAGTTGTATGTTGGAAAAATTGCTCTGTTAGCATATAAAATGATTGAGAAGAAGAAGCATTTGAAGATTTTGGTAATAGATTAATCTTAATAAGCTCCAGTAAGAAATCAAGATTACACAAATTTCCTAGACTTCTTAAGATCTTTATACCACTTGAGAATTTGTAACTCGCGTCATTAAAAAATTTCCAGGTGCTGATAGCCTCCCATAATCTCCTGGCGGACGTTTCGAACGACATCTTCAGGTTTTTAGACAAACTTAGGATCGTCGATTTGTCCCACAATCGCCTCAGGGTACTGCCGGATAATCTCTTCAGAGAAGAAGGGTTGGACCGATTGGATCTGTCCCATAACATGCTTAGTAAATTACCATTGACAGCAATGTCTGTTGCTACAGCGATGTCCGTTTGCGAGCTCGATTTCTCTTGGAATAGCATCTCTTCGTTGGCGCACGGTGGATTATTAACCAGATTTCGCGTAAGCTTTTCCATATTTTTCGATACCATGAATGCATGAAAAAATCTTTTCCAGAAACTCAATTTTCTGGATTTGTCTTACAACAGATTGGCCCAAATCGATACCGGTACTTTCAAAGGTTTACCGAGATTGTCTTATTTGGATTTGAGTCATAACAGTCAGCTAACTCTAGAACACAATGGTCTCAGTTTTCTAGGCTTGGAATACAATTTGCTCCATCTTAAATTGGATAACGTTTCTTTATCGATGGTAAGATAAAAAATTTAGACCTGAAAATCGAAACTAATATACGTTTGTTTATAGGTACCGATATTACCTACACCAAATTTAATCAGCCTGTCGCTTGCTCATAATTCTTTGCCCACTGTACCACCTGAGATGGCTACGAATTTAACCAGATTGCAACGGTTAAATTTGGATAACAACGACCTTACTGCAATTCCTATTGTAACCCATCAGTTGGCTGAGTTGCGATATTTTTCGATAGCAGGAAATCCGATCACGTTCCTGAGCAACACCAGCTTACTTGGAGTGGCCGATCGATTGGTCGAATTAGATATCAGGAATTTCGATCTCAACACTTTAGAGGTTAATTAAATAGTTCATTCGTTCGTACAGTAGGTTTTTAAGTTTGAGTTTTTCTTGTTAGAGCGGCGTGTTTTGTAAAATGCATTCTCTGAGAACGCTTAAGTTGAATCGTTTTCCACAAATAAAGAACTTCAATCTTCCTACTATTCTGGAGAGGACTTCTGGACTCAGAAACCTGGAAATTCACGTGAGTAAGTTTTAATGGAAATACGAAAAATATTTCTCATATAATTTCAGGTTGAAACGGCTACCGATGATAATTTAGAGAAAGAAATGAATGGAGAATTTCCTTACAAATTAGGAAACATCACATTCACCGGCAAAGGTTTAAAAAAATTAGGAGGAAACATTTTAAGCGTAAGTTCTCTTCTCTTTCCTTATCTATTCACAAAAAAATTGCTATTACATCTTTCAGGGCATAAGAAGTCCTACTTTTCATTTAGGAATCCACAACACCAGCATCTTGAAAGTGGCTTCAAACATCTTCGAAAGACTTGATGGCGTAAAAAATATCAGCGTGGACGTGAGAAACAACGATGCTTTACAGAGTTTATTGAATCCATCGCGAGGATCCAGGCCCAATTTATACGAGAAGCCCTTTTTGGTCGATTTGAAAATCACAGGGAACAAATGGACGTGCGACTGCGACTTAGGGTAAATATACGATTTTGTATTTAAATACCTAATACAAAAATAATTTGTAATAACTTGTAGATGGATTGAAGTGTGGATGAGAAAACGCCGTCAGTATTTATGCAAAGACATTCCCAGCGTTTCAGATTATACTTGTCGTCACACCGAAGACGATCTAAGAACGGCCCTTTGCAATAATAAAAACAATCATACAGTTGTGGAAGTCCTGAAAACTGATATAGAATGCGGCTGGAGCAAATCGCATCGATTAGAACGGAGTTCGTTGATTGTTCTGGTAATTGCTGTAATTTCTATTAAATTCTTGTAAATTCGGGTAATTATAGGTAGATGAAAGTTAGCTATAGTAGGGTATTTTGGAAAAGAGTATAATCAAATAATTGTTCCTTTGAACCTTTCACACCTTATTTATCTGTATTAATATATTTATATGAGCGAACTCGGGGGAGTTAAGAGCAGGCTTAAATCAAAATTAATTACGAGTTTTCTTGTACGATTGTTCTTGTAAGAAATCGCTTGGGAATAATTACATGTTTTTAATGTAAACTTAACTTCACCAATGCGAGTGTTCATAAATACTGCCATTTTGAAAGTAAAACTATTTATTTTGTTCAAGATTAGTTAATAATACTTTTTAATATTTCCAATAATACATTTCCAATTCAACGACAGAAGAGAAATTTAATAAAACAAATAATGTCAATAGTGAATTAGTCCTTTTTTATTCTTGTTAATCAATCACACAAACGAAATTTGTAAAATTCTAACGGCGTATAGTAGTAGTACCTAGTAGATACGTTACAAGAAGTAAATCATAGAGGTAGATTTGGTCAAGTACCAATTGCATCCACAGTAATTGAAACTATTTATTTTTCGTAAGTCATCGTAGAGTTATTTTAGTATCGACATCATTAAATTACCTAACTATTTCATTATATACAATAACCAATGTACATTTTTAAATTAATACAAACAATACATAAAAAGCTTGTTCTATAAATTTTCTACGGCCCTATAAATACAACCTTACGTTTAATTATAACCGAAATTTTCTAAGTCAATCTCTTTGGCGAATCATTTGATAAAACGGAAAATTCAATTTGAATTAAAACCGAATTTTCCCAAAAACAAACTAGATTAAATCAGTTTGATTCTCGACTATTCTCGTTGCTTCCGGCGACGGATTCGTTTTGCACGGCCGTTACCGAAGTCGGGGAGTTGCTGTTGCTTCCGTTGCTCGCTATCGCCTCCGGCGGAATCAGTCCTTCTTTTATCCGCTTCTTCTGCTTCATCCTCCTGTTCTGGAACCATATTTTCACCTGCGTCTCGTTCAGTTGCAACGCCGAGGCGATTTCTATTCGCCGCGCTCTCGTCAGATACTTGTTGAAATGGAATTCTTTCTCTAATTCGGTGAGTTGTTTGTTGGTGAAATTCGTCCGGCCGGTGTTCAGGCAGTTCAGGTTCAGCAGGCTGGAGGCGTTGGAGCCCAGACAGGCGCTTCTGGACGCGGGATTTTGGACGTCCAGACTGGAATTGTTCGGACTGGAGGTCTGGTAGTCGGAAAGCGTAGGGTTAGGGAGTTTGGGCACTGAAAAGATAATCGTAAATTAATCCTGGTGTATAAATATGGGAAATTGACGTGTTGAATGTATTTTTATTTCTTTTACTACGTAATAAAAAAAGAAATGTAATGTGCATGTAATGCAATTAATGCGGAATGACGGTTCATGTGGACATTTTCAAAAGCGCCCGGCGAAATGTACGTTACGAAAACGCCAGTGCATGCGCTATCTGATATATCCCTCGAAGCGCGATAAGATCTTGAATTTGCAAATAACTTCATTTAAATAATATATTTTATTTCGACCCACGCAGGTTCTGCAATACACACACACTCATTCGTTTGTGTATGAGACAAATGTAAGTATTTAATGAAAACTTGATATCGATCTTTATTAGTACACTAATTAAAAACCGATAAGTTTGTTTTAAACAATCAGTTTTTTTGCTGATCCTTTATTAAATGAAATATAAAAATAAAATTACAATTAGCGTATATATTTTTTGGAATAATAAATCTTTCAAAGAACACTTTTAGATACAGACGGACGTATGAAAAAGGAATCGATATACACAAATTCTAATTATAATCGCATATTCCATTGATATTTTTAATCATGCATATAGAGAGGTGGAGATAAAAACGGCGAATGAAAAATTAATTGTCGAAAACTTTTTTGATAAAATCTGACCTAATTGATATATAAAAATCAGAAAATGAAATGAATATTTCGGCCGGCTAATGGTAAATCTCGAGTGGGCGTTCGTCGTGAGAGGTGCAAGTCTGGGGAGACATTCATTAATCTATTGTGACAGGCCAGTGTTAACTACACGCTACATCGGTAATTACTGATGACGGACCGGAACATGACACGGGATCTGAACATATTTCTCCTCTCTCCTCCTCTCACGTTATTAATTTAATAAACAAGTTAATTGTCTGACCGTTTTCGGTTTCTGTCGAACCGTCAAGACGCCGAACGTTTTTCGTTTCGTTCCTTTATCTTGATTTGTTTCATTAATTTTTCAATTCCTGGGAGCAGATGGAATGGTTATAATTATAACTATACACCCGCATGTTTGTTTCATCGAGTTGAAATTCAAATGAATCGAACGATTTACACTTTTTAGGTCACTTATTTGAATCTTATACAGCGCCTTCAAAAAGTCATCCTATTCAATTGACTTCAATGGTTACACAATCAAACTTTTTATATAGAAAATAAATTTGTTCGCAATATGGTTTTTGGATGCAACAAATAGTTTACAAGAGTAGATTAGAAGTTTATTGAAATTGAAAAAAATTCAAATGCAAACTTTGCACTTATCTGTATAAAGCTTCAAAACGTTACGATGGCGATGAAAAATTTCCGAAGCTAGGCAACTCGCCGATAACTTCAAAATATATTTTAATGTTGACAGAGAGTCATAAAAATTGTCGAATTTTTGAGGCAATTTTACTAATTTACACTTACTAAATCAAATTTTGTTAACATGCACATCGATCCCGACGAATTATATAGATGGGTGGACGCCCATACAATCACCAGACCGAAGAGAAATTTAAATAGGGATTTCTCCGATGCCGTACCATTGGCGGAAATTTTGAAACAGCATTTTCCGAAGTTGGTTGATATACACAATTACATTCCGACGCTGTCGCACACTCAGAAACTGGTGAATTGGGACGTCCTGAACAAGAAGGTACTAAATAAATTGAACATGAATCTGACGAAGAAAATTAGGGAAGAATTGGCGAAAAGCACGCCCGGTGCTATCGAAAAGGTTCTCGAAGAAATCAAAGCGAAAATTGAAATTAAAGACGCTTCTGGCGATCACGGAGACGATACGAAAATTATATACTTGGAAAACAGTTCGGAATTATCGTACAGAGAAGGGGTGATTCCGTTGAAAATTAATAATGGCGTGAAAACCGTGGATAAAAAATTAGTTCCTAGCGATTTGTACGATAAAATGGAAAAGGAATTGCAAACTCAAAAGGACACCATAGCGGAGCTCACTCAAAAAGTCGACCATTTTGAGAAATTAATCGGCATTAAAGACGAGCGCATTAAAGACTTATCGCATCAATTGCAATCGCTAATTAGCACACCGGAAGAAAATACATTTCAGAAATCAAGATTTTTTAGTAACATACTTTAAACGTCAAAATTGTAAGAGTTTGCTTTTGTAATAAAACTCTACTTTAGGTACCAACTATACGTAGATGCGTTTATTATTCTCAAACACCTATACAGGGTGTTCTCGAACTTATAGCACTTAATTCTATAGGGGTTGTAGTTTGCATAAATTATAGACAGATTCACAGATTTCATTTTTCTAAAAAATTATAGTAAACAAAATAGAGCCATTAGAAATAAATGCCAAGAGCGAATACAACCCTGGTCTGAATAGTCAGCTGATCAGAATTTTAACTCAAAAAACTGATTCGGTGTATTTATCAGCGAGCGCAAATTTCCCCCTCCGCCCTCCAGCTTTCGAAAAACGTTACCGATACTAATTGTTTTCTATTGCGAATTGTATTGTTTTTGATTATAATATCGGGGTTAAATAGATTTTTGTGATTAGACTTTAGTGATTTATTTGATTGTTTTAGTTCTTAGTGTTCTTCTCAGTTTAGTTAGTTCTTATGTTAGTGATGTTCTGGAACAATTAATTGCAATATTGGCAATACCACACGCGTTCAATGGGATTAAACAATCACTATGAACTTCAATAGTTTTCAACGAAATAGGTGAGCTAATATTTCTGTAGAGTTTATAATGTTTATTTTCTTCTACTGTTTGAAAAGGCCGGGCTACTTTTATAATTTATCCATGATTTAAAAAAATTAGTAACCATGCATACGGAATAAATAAGGGATAAACAAATTTAAATAAGATATCACTCTTAATTTATTTTGTCGATTCTAACCTATGGTAAACGCAATCTCTCGCGCGATCGAAGGGTTTCAACCAATGTACAAGACCTTATTTCCTTGAAATATTTTTTATATTTCAAATTTAGTCTATAATAATTTTTTTTAGAAAAATGAAATCTGCGAATTGGTCTCAAACTATGCGAACTACCACCCCTACAATTTAGTGCTATAAGTTCGAGAACACCCTGTACAATAAGGATCCAATAATTTTAAACATAATTAATTTTATTAATCAACCCACAGGGACATTTCCCGAAATTACTGCGATAACATCAGTAAAAATTCCGCGATTAGCCGTGTGAGGTTTCCTGCAAGTCATGGTTTTTAAAACGAACTTGGGTCGTGCACGCCAATGAGCGGTCGGGGGTTGAATATCACGGCGAAATAAAACAAACAATTCGTATACGAAATCCATTAAATCTTTATTGATATAAGGTTATTCTATCCAAGATTGCCCAATATTATAGAAGTCGAGACTCGATTTTAACCCACTCGCGCTCACGTTAAAACTGCAGTCAATATGGTTTCAACTTAATTTAACTTTTAAAAACATGTTTTTTATTATAATTTTTAGAGATATTTGTTCATTGATACCGATTCGGATTCCCAGCATCTCTAAAATAATGCAATTTAGTAAAACTTGTATCAATTTTTACTAAAAAATGTCCATATTGCAAACTTGTACTCGTATGCACCAAGGTGTAATGAAACATTAACCAAAATCAATAACTCCATGTACATAATTATTAATAAATCACAAAAAAATGTACCAGGTTCCAGTTAGGTTTGTTTAACATTAATAATGAATACCCGTTCCTAGTATAATAATTTAATAAAATTAACAGGCTAATTTCTCGAGTACACTACACATGCCTCACATATGAAATTTAAAATGGAATTCTCATTGATTATTGTTTATAAATACCAAATAATTCACGCTGCGATAAATGTAATGCCTGCGATATCGCAGAACATTGATTGCTTTCATTCAATAGAAACTATTTACTGTTGTAAATTCCTATATTCTTCATTCCCTGTCCATTTTACTATTCTATTCACTTATTCCTCTTCACCTCTTCCGTAAATTTTATGTTACCCCTTTATACTATTTTGCGTAGATAATTAACTGCATAAGTCCTACATAAGATGAAGATGTAGGATTTTTTACTACAAGTGCCTAAATCATTCATTCATTAATACTAAAGTTCCCAACATGTATATGGATGTACTTAGTACATTTTGGTGATAAATTTTATATTGCACAATCTCTTACCAATGCCAGGTATCTCCGCCACTGATTATATCGGATTAAATGCATTGGTCCATATTATGAGGTAGCGTGAATCAAACACAGCTGATGATAAAGTCAACAAGAGTTGGAATGTGTTGACAGAACAGCTTTATTATCTTGAAAAAGTATTGGCTTTCAATGGAGTTCAATTCTTCGGTGCCGCTGATTTGTGCAAGTTTTATGCAATATCATGTTTACTATTGTTGTTGTGCCTAATCTAATTAATAATATAAAGAAATGACAATGGACTTTTCTTTTTGAAATATACAGGGTGGCACTTTAGTATGGAAAAGCTCAATATATCTGTTATTGGAGAAGGTATCAAAAAAACTTCATTGCAAATGTTGTAGATCTTTTTAAGCTGCATATTTTAAACTTAGTTACATTTATACCGAGTGTCCTGTTTTTCAGTGGTAGACCAAATTGATACTTTTTTAAATGGATCAGCCTGTTTTTTATTTAAAAATTAAATTTCGCTACCAAAATTAACTGTATTTGTAGAATGTACCTACCACAAACATTCACCATTAGATTGCCTACACGATAATAACATAATCAATCATTAATTTATTATTTAATTTGTGTTACAATTTTTGTAATTGCTCCGTCGTAAATTGAAAAAAGATTCTCTCATTTCCGCATTGGAATCTTATCGTTCCAACGTTTGATATCATATGTTAATTATATCTGTATCTGCATGACAAAAGTTTTTAAAAGGGAATCCTTATCGATCCCAACACGCTATATTAGTACACACGCACATGTATACGCATTAATGTTAAGCAAAACTCGAGCAACTATTGATAAATAATAAATTAAAGGTAAAGGGTCGAATTTAAAAGAGATAATTTTCTATGTTAACTCAATATGAATAGTTAAGCTAATTAGGTTGTCAGTTTAGGAAGTTTTTGGGGAGTTATCGAAATTTATATGCAAGAAAAGAATTAGAATTGGCGAGTATTTTATGTACATAATATGCTTAATATAATTATTATGATATATCTATTAAAACAATTTGCATTTTTCATTCAGCATTTTTATGATCTATTTTTTAAAGTGTGCTGCGCGCTATTAAAAATTTATGTTTGTATTGGCGCCACGTCGGGGTGAAATATAATACGAGCTTCGATCCTAAAGAAGTTGATGGAAAAAAAGAGTGAAGGGATTTTATCAAAATATTATTAATTAAGGTTATTCTACCGCAGCCGAAAACCGAAAACTAGTCTTTTAAGTTTCGCTTATCTTGCGGGCAGGAAAGCATCGAGCATCAGCACTGTTCATTGATCCAATTTAATACGATCGACTGAGCCGTCAGTTAACAAACACCACCGATACTGATATACCTTTCGATTTTGTATGTATCAGATTTCAGGTACACGAATTCGATCTTATACCCTATGATTTACAAAACACGGCCACTTGCCAAATTTACTTAACTTTATCGACCTGTCAGATCGAAATCAGTGCGTCGACCGCGTAATCGATTTAAATTTTCGATTTCCAATTTACACCCAGTTAATGAAGCGAGTTTAGCATTTAATTAGTAATTCTAACATTCATATCTGATGTTTCGTAATACATGTCAACAATTAGTGCGTATAGAACCAGTCGTGGTACCACCCGAATGATTGGATTTATCGTTCGAAATATCTGATTTAATTAGGTACATATTTTAAGGGTGTGTTTAATAATATTTGGGTTTTAATTTGATCATTAATAGTTTTGTCCTCGGGAAAGATTAGCGCGTGAAAACCATGTCAGCATTACTGACAAAAGTGCTTTAAGTTAAAGATTGCGTAACCAATATGTTTAATAAAATATGTATGATTATTAGGACGTGAAGACGTGACGCGAGATAAATTATTTAATTTACTTTAATATATTACATAATTTTATATAAAAATACTGCTATGCACTTACTAACACTGCTAAAAATACCTTCTACATCCTTTTCTAATACCATTAAACATATTAAAGAAGTGAAATTTAAAACCAATTTTATAGGAGCGCGAACTTAAAGTTATTGCCAATAAAAAGAAAAAGTTTTTTTTACTTAGTTGAAATACACTGGTGGTAGATCAACATGTTGGTCAAACAATTTACGTCATCTTTCCATTTTCATTAAATTTAGTTGATTGACACCGCGTTGTGATGATGGAAAACTCTGTGGAATTTCAAAATTAATTCAATACTCTATCGCATGGGATAATTTCATACGTTTGACGCGAGTAAGTGATGGGTATAACAAGACAGGTTGGTTTAAATAAATTATACTATTTTTATTTATCAAACGTTTCAACGTTATTCAACGTTATTGTACTATTTTGTAGTATTTTAAAATTCTGCTTGGTTATACGCATTTTTATTACAAGGTTTCTTTCGAGATTGGTTAAAATGTAAGGATAAATATTTATCAATCCTTACTATGACTATATAGTTTCTTTAACTGATCAAAAGTAATTAATGAATAAATATTATTTACTGCAATATTATTTACTGCAATATTATTTTACTGCAATTGTCCTACATTTTCATTGATAAGCAGTGGATATTTCATTACACGTTTGTATTGGAAAAGGAACTTTTCCCAACAGCATTTCAAATTTTCTATTATCAACAACAGTAGAATATTCCAATAAAAACATATCCATAATCTATACATGATTGTGAGAAATATTAACCAATTAAAAATATATTCTCGTCATACTAATCATGAATGAAAAATTCTTTTAAGATAGTTGATTTTGACACCCCAACCTAACTAATTTTTCATTATAGCTGCTCGAAATTTAGCTGTTATCTATTCTGCTCTCTGGTTGAGGGCAAGTTATATAATCAGAAGGGTATGGAGTGATCAATTCTTCAAAGTGACAGTTTTACGTATTAATATTCACATCTTTTTCCGGCTTTTATCTACTGAACCAGTAGAAGTTGTTGTTTTTTTTTATTCCTTTGAAAAGGATATCTTATACATTCGAGCTGCTTTCAT